CCAGAAGAGCTCTCATCTTCATCCTCCAAAGGGTGAAATCATTCTTGCCTGTGAATTTCTCAATATCAAATTTCGCAGAACTCATCTTAACCTCCCAGAATATCCGACCTTGCTCTTGATACCAATCTGTTATAAAAAATAGATTATGCAAAACTCTATTGAACCCACCAAAGAATGATTAATACAAAGAAACAATTATGGGAGTAAAAGTTATATCTCATTGATTTATTACAAACCTTATATAGGCATTACAAACAGTTATTCTGTTATAAGACATAACCAGTGGCAGATCTTGACCAATGATTTTGGGGGGGCCAAATAATATATTATTAATAAATAATAAAAAAAAAGAATATGAAAAGTTGAAAAGATAAAATTGTAGATATATACTTAAATATATTAAATGATCATTAAGTTTGAGGGAAACCAAATCATAAATTATATGAGAGTTACAAAACTGAGGAGGGGCTAGGAGGATAAAATTGTAAATATACAAGTAAATATATTAAATGCTCATTATGTTTGGGGGGCCAAAATCATAAATTACATGGGAGTTATAAAACTTTGGGGGGGCCACGGCCCCCCTCTGCTCCCAAGAAGATCCGCCACTGGACATAACAGAATAATAATCCTCTATTAACTCCCTAACAACCATAAAGTCTCAAAGCCACTACTAACAGATGACTATCCCTGGAAAATTTGAAGCTACCATTATTTCCTTGGAGAATACAAAGGACATGTCAAAACTTACCTTGACAGAACTAGTAAATACTTTGCAAGCCAAGAACAAGAAGGATGATAAGAGCTGAGAGTTTTGTGGAAGGAGCATTGCAACCTAAATTGTAACTTAACCAAGGAGAGAAAAATAAGTGGAAGAAATACAAGAAGAACTTCAGCATACAAGATGCAACCAAAAATAATAATAGAGACAAAAACAAAGGATTTTCTCCTTGCAAGCATTGTGGCAAATTGGGTCATCCTCCTTTCAAATGTTGGAGAAGACTCGATGTTACGACATCATGTGAGAATCTACAAAAGCAATCTTCAACAAGAGGAGGAAAAATTGTTTATAATAGCATGTTTCTCAAGTAGCAGCTCAAGTGAATGTTGGTTAGTGGATAATGGTTGTACCAACCGCATGACCCACGATGAAAAGTTTTTCAGTGAGTTGGCGAAATCACAAGTATCAAAAGTTAGAATTGACAATGATGATATGATTGATGTTGAAGGAAGGGACACTATAGTCATTGAAAGTTATGTAAGTACAAAATTAATGTATGATGTTTTGTATACCTAAGATTGATCAAAACTTTCTAAGTGTTAGGCCATTGGTTGAGAAAGGATTTAAAGTCATATTTGAAAACAAGCATTGTTTGATTAAAGATGTCAATGACAAAGAAATTTTTAGTATCAAAGTGAGAGGAAAAAGTTTCTCATTTGATCTAATGACGAAGAAGCAAATTGCTTATCCAACTATTGTAAATAGTACAAAAATTTGGCACAAGAGGTTGAGCCATTTTTATCATGCAACTATATTGAATATGCATAGAAAGGAGTTGGCTCATGGCTTACCTCAATTGGATTCAGAGTTACCAAGTTGTGACGCTTGTCAATAAGGAAAGGAAGCAGGATTACCATTTAAACAAGCAGCTTGGAGAGCAATAGAGAAGCTACAATTGATCCACATCGATTTGGATGGACCTCAAAGGGCTCCTTCACTTAAAGAGAGTAAATATTATATCATCTTTGATGATTTCATTCGAATGTGCTAGATTTATTTTCTCAAGTCTAAATTAGAAGTTGCAAGTGCATTTTGGAGATTTAAGTAATGGATTGAAAAGAAAAGTGGTTGATTGATGTATCTTACAACAACAATACCATATATCTTGTATGCAATAAGTGTACTTGCAAGATTCGTGAATTCTACCAAAGAATCTCATATGAAAGTAGCAAAGAGAGTGCTGAGATATATCAATGGGACTTTAAATTATGGTATCAAGTTCAGTCAATCACAAGATTTCAAGTTGGAAGATTATTCTGGGAGTGATTGGGGAGGATCTTTAGATGATATGAAGGACACCTCAAGCTATTGTTTCAGTTTTGGATTCGAAATATTCTCTCAAAGTTCAAAAAAGCAAGAAGTTGTTGCATAATCAATTATTGAAGCTGAATTTATAGTAGTCACAACAGTTGTAAATCAATCCTTATGACTAAGAAAAATATTAATTGATTTGCAATTAGAGCAAGAGATAACTGCAAAAGTAATGGTGGACAACCAGACAACCATAACCATCTCAAAGAATCTAGTATTTCATGGGAAAACAAAGCATTTTAACATGAAGTTATTTTTTCTTATAGATGTACAAAGGGATGGTGTAGTGTGCCTGGAATATTGCAAGATTGAGGATCAGTTGTCAAATATCTTCACCAAAGCACTTCCAAGAAACAAGTTTTAGTCACTAAAAGAGAAACTTGGACTTATTAATCATTGATGCAAGAAGGAGTGTTCAACGTGTGCATCAACAGTTGTTTTACCGTTTTCTTTTCCTTATGTTTGATCTCGTATTTAGGTATGCTATTTATTCTACTTACTCAAGTAACATTTATTTTTAGGTACATTAGTGGTATTGTTTAGGAAGTTTGTTATTTTTCTTCTTTTACAAGGTCTATATTTAAGACAAATTATTGTTGAATAAAATCAATTCATCTCTCTCCTTGTGAGTTACATTTTTTACACAAAGATCAAAATTATAAAGAGGGAGGAAAATAAAAAGACTAAAATATTAAAGATAATAAAAGACAAGATATCGAATAAGAAAAATCACAACTCTAGAAAAGAACAAAAGGAGAAAATCGAAGAATCAACAAAGATATTCGAGATTAAAGAAAAAGAAAAAAAATCGAAGAATCATAAAATAGAGGAAAACAAGAGAGTTATCAAAGAGAGTTATAAAACCGAGAAAGATGTGGAGCAGTTATAACTTCATGATTTGACAAAAACGTTTATAATACCATCGAAAAGGGGCAAAACCTTTTAATAGGAAAAGAAAAAGGCTACTCGACGGAGTTCTTGACAATTTCAGTATCAGTTCCTTTTTTATTATTGGTAATTTACATTTCCAGTAATTTACATTTTCTACAATTTACGTTCCCAATAATTTACATTCTCTACAATTCACGCTTCCAACAATTTATGTTTTCCAACAATTTATTCTTTCCAATAATTACATTTCCATATTTTAAGAAGTTTTTCCTTTAATTTTTGTTCTTTTTTTTAGTTATTTTTATGAATTTTCATTAAAATATTAAATCATGTCCGAATTGATACTTAAAATCTAAATTTACAATTAAGATAATTCCATAAACATCTTTATTAAATTAATATGCGAAAGAACAATTATAAAAATTGACTTCACATTAGTTGTTGAGTGAAATACTAGTCGATATTTTGGAAAAATACTATCTAAATTGAATTTTTTTTATTTGCTAGTCTAAATAAAAAAACTTATAAGTGACAAGTGATTCATATTCAATATTTTTTGGATTAGAAACAAATTGACATTGTTTATACTCATTTTTCACTAGAAACACTTTGCAACTTAGTCATCCAAATGGTGGATAGAAACTAATATAGAAAAAATTTGCTAAAAGTTGGTACTCATGGTTAATCGAAAAACCTATACACTTACTTTTAAGATACACAAGTGTTTTGAGGTGAAGATGTATAAATTTTCAAGAAATTAAAACCATGCATTTATTTTCATCTTCTTTTGTAATTTGTGTTTTATATTTGTTCCCGATTCATGTTATTTTTCTTTTTCATTATAGTAATATGATAAGTTCGTAAGTTTCTTTCATTATAATTCATCCAACTTCTGGCAAGTTCTTTTGACATGTTGACATCATATACCAATTCAAACAATTAATCTTATCCCAAAGTTATCTACATGAATCACCTAACTTTATTCAATTAAGTTTTAAAGGTATTATTTATTACAGTGACTTCCTCCTCCTTTTCACAATACTAAAAGTTATCTAATATGCTTTTATCATTTGTGTCTCCTGTGACACATTTTATTCTCGTCTACATTAGCTTAACCTTTTATCATTTTTTCTTCAATCAGTACTAATGAACACATTTTATTAATAAATTTATTAATATAATTTATATATATTTAGTGTATTTCTTTAATTAATTATATTTAATATAATTTTTGTAAAATGGAAATAAATATTTAATAAATCTAATTACTACTACTAATATTATTATTATTATTATTATTATTATTTACTAACTTGTTCTCAAAGTTGGAAAACATAAATCCAAATATATAATATCATAATAACACGAAATGAAGATTATTTAGCAGGGAAAGGCCGGGGGTTATGTTATCACCCATTTCTGCTGATGCACAACTACACGTAATGAAGACAAGTTAGAAACGATAGCAACATTTAGATGTCAATAGATTTCACAGAACATAGAAAACATAATGAATTGTAAGACTCTTAACTTTTATATTTATGCACTTTTGTTGGAATATCCTTTTTGGTATTCTTGTTTTCTGTCCATTCTCCTTCCTAATGGTCAAAAGTGTACATAAACCGCAAGTTTGTGTGTGTATATCATCGTTCTTCATTCTAACTCGCGGCTAATGCTGACTAGAACCATTTATTTTTGTGTAATGAACAAAGTCAAAAAGGCGAAGTTGTTTGAACCCTTTTTCGTTGTTATTTGCCAACTTCCTTGCCATGAACTTTTCACAATATTTTAGAGTATCGGTTCAAGCCATGGCCTGTGAGAGAGAGTTCCAAATGGCTGTCCTTCTGACATTTGTCATGATCTGGACACCCATGTTTGTCCTCAGTGATTGTCCATATCAGGACTTTCTAGACCACTCTGTCTCCATTCTCCAGTTCAACCATATAAATGCAATTACAATCTCAATCTCTTCTTCACCTCCTTCACCACCCTCTCTTACACACAACTTGGTTCAACAATGATAGATTCAAACCCACCACTCATTCACCATTATGGGGCGCTTGTGAGAAACTCTGGCGAAGCCAAACAGGCTAAAGGTTTCAATGATCAAAACCATGCTGTAGTGGATACATGTGACCTACCTTTGATAGACCTTGGTGGACTTGAAAGTTCTAATGAAGGAGAGAGGAAGGCTTGCACTGCAGCAATATGCAAGGCTGCATCAGAATGGGGATTTTTCCAAGTTGTAAACCATGGGATAAGCCATGACTTGCTAAGAAAAATGAGGGATGAACAAGTGAAGTTGTTTGAAGTACCGTTTGAGAAGAAGATCACTTGCGAGCTTCTGAATAACCCTTATAGGTGGGGGACACCAACAGCTACTCGTTCAAATCACTTCTCATGGTCTGAAGCTTTCCACATTCCTCTCACCATGATCTCAGAAGCTGCTTCCTGGGGTGAATTCAGTTCTTTGAGGTATCTTGGTTACAATATTCATGTTTTGACATTGTTTACTTCGTTGAAATATTTTTTTTTTTTTTTTTTTTTATACATGCTCAATGCACCGTTGATAACAATCCTACAATATTACAGAACAATGAGAAAAGACTAATGAATGCAGAACAAAGCCAAAAGTGTCTTAGGGTGCTGACAAAGACACTCACCACCACCCTCTTTCGAAGTCTTATTTTCACGGTTTAAAATGTATATTTATTATGCTTATTAGGTCCTTCATTTCTAACCATAAGAATACAAAAAATGGTTGTTAAACATATTTTTTGTCTTAGAACGCCAACAACTTTTCTATTTTTATTTTCAATATTAAAAATTCATTTGAAAAATTTAATCTATTTTTAGTGGGTTTCACAATCTGTTTTTTTTTTTCTCTAAAATCAATTCGTTAGAAATATTAAAATTTACAAGTTATTATTTAAGAACCTGTTCAAGAGAATCATTCTACAAAATGATTCATGTAACATTCATGTCAGAAAATTTCGATATTGAAAAACTTACAGATGAACTCTTTCATTCAAAAACCTGCTCTTAAGAACTACCATTAAAGATTTTCTTACATTTTACTTGCTCCCGGTTGAATCTCATTCTACCCAGCTTTAAATATACATAATGTGATTTATAGGCATGGCACTAACAATGACATAAATGATAAAACCTAGTGATTCATTGCTTTCCTATTCTTTTTCCTTGAAACGGGTCTGCTTAGATTTTTCTAACACAGATGACACTCTACTCTTCATATAAGTTATTCACATTTTCACTTTACACATGCTCTGTCACTCTTGTCCTCATATAAGTAAACATTTGAAGATGGGTACGTACGTGTAGATTCTTGAACTAGCTAGGTAAATTCTACCAAGTTCTTTTCACTAGTTAAGAAATTAATAAGACAATATAATAATATAACATTTAACGTTACCATAACATTTTTTTTAACTAATATGCTTAATTTACTCATCGTGCAACCTTCAAATTATAAGAAATGTTATTGTATTGTTAAATTATAAAGTCATGATAATATGAAAAAGTAATGTACATAAGAACCTGTTTAATATATTTTTTTAATACACTTCTAACTATTTATCAAAACTTCAATCATGTGTGAGGTTTTGTTAAATTGAGAGTGTGGCTAATTATTTTGTGAGTTATAAAAAATTTCACTTATAATAAAGGTGTTTGACAATATATTATTAAATGAGGATTAAAAATATAACTTTTATATTAAAAAAAGCATAATATTTAATAGTATTAATACATAAAGAGTAAATTAGATTTCACACTCATAATTTTTTTGAATTTAAGAGTATGTCCCATAGTATTAACTATAATAACTGCCTTATAGAAGTATATAGTGTAATGCATATTTTGGGTAACAGAAGTGTCAGTCTAATTTACATTTCCCAAGCAGTAAAGTTGTTGCAGGGGAAAGAAAGAGGAATAAGAGATGTCTGTAATTTTTTATTTCTCAATTCTTAAATTTTACATTTTTTGAATCCAAGGAGAATAATACTAATAAGTAATAACCAATAGATATTTGAAGGGAAAAAAAACTTGTCGGATTATTCCATATCTTGACAGGTTGGCCTGTAAAATTTATGCTGCGACAAAGCACTGATAGTTCTGAGCAATATTTGTCTGGAATGGTGTGCATGATTTCACATTTTCATCCCCCACAAGCACGTTAATATGTTTCTAACTCTGGCTGTTGCTGCAGAGAAGCAATAAATGAGTTTGCACCAGCGATGCTAGAAGTGTCTAGGTTGTTGGCCAGCATTCTAGCACAAAACCTGGGCTACCCAAATGATGCAATTGAAAAACTGTGTGATGCAGGCACATGCTTTCTGCGATTAAATCACTATCCATGCTGCCCAAAATCTAAAGAAGAAATTTTTGGATTAGTGCCTCACACTGACAGTGATTTTCTTACAATCCTTTATCAAGATGAGGTCGGTGGACTCCAACTCATGAAAGATTCCAAATGGGTTGCTGTAAAACCAAACCCAGATGCTCTAATTGTTAACATTGGAGACCTTTTTCAGGTAAAATCTTAAGAAATACCACACAAATACAACAGTTTGTTCATCTTTATTTTATTTATTTTTTTATGTTTATCTGTCTTTCTCATTATGATAATGTGCATGAAAAAACAATGATGTAGAACCTGTTTCTGAAAAGGTATTAGCTTGACATGTAACTTGACTGCCACTAAATAAATTAGGTGTTCATACAATGAAGAGAGTTAGTTATTAGGTGTCATTTGACTATGAATATGTATTATTTCAAGTCTAGACGACAACCATAGTGGAGAAAACGAGTAGTAGTGCCAAAAGGGAATTTCCAAATTCAAGGGTTCTTTCTTAAACTAATAATTACATAATGGAGCATGGCATGCCAACCTTTTTTCCAAGGAATATATTTTATTATAAGCAAATGAGTCAACGAAGCAAGATTCCATATAGAAGAGAATAAAATGGTTATTTGTATCGTTCTTCAACTAAACAATGGCTCTTTCGAAAGCAACAAATGAAAATTGAAAGAAAACAATAGAAAACTACACAAAACAGCATCTTTGTTTCCTCTTAAGTCTTAAACCTAGTCTAAGTGACTACTATAATAAAATCAACAGTAGAGTGACGGCCACATTGGCCATTGCAGCATCCATTATTGACACAACCTTTCCACTCCCGAAGATGCATGCATGATCACAACAATTTTCCACTAAAAAACCTTTGATTATATGAAGAATTTATTCAATCGTGGGTTACATGTCAATGGTTTATCCACTAACAATAATAGGTCTTTCCTTTGGCAAACTCAAATACAGGCATGGAGTAATGATGAGTACAAAAGCGTGGAGCACAAGGTTGTGGCGAACGACAAAATGGAAAGATACTCCGTCGCATACTTCCTATGCCCTTCTTACAATACTGTCATAAATGACTGCAAAGGACCTTCTGTATATAGGAAGTTCACTTTTGGAGAATACAGACACCAAATTCAAGAAGATGTCAAGAAAATAGGACACAAAATTGGACTTTCAAGATTTCTATTTTAAGTTACCTACGCACTGAACTCGCACGAATACTATTTTGCCTATGTAACAGAAAATTCTTTTCTTACCCAAATAAAGTTTCTGTTTCAGTTGCAATATGTTAGAATAAATCGAAAGTGGTGGACTTATTATGATACACTAATTAAGGTGATGGGTTCGACTCTCTTATTAAGAAAACCTAAGACAATTAATGTTTATCGATATAAGAAAAAACAACTGGAAACATCTGAATAATAAAAAAAAAAAGAGGATTTTTCTCACTGGGGGGTTTTTGGCTTTCCTTTTTGTTATCATAAGCACTCCAACAATAATACAGGTTCTACCGGTTAGATATCATCGTATTCTTGTCCACACAATAATGTTATCGAACAAGTGAACTTTTAACAATATTTCTCAAAATATTGGACAAGCTAAACGAGGAACTAAAGATATAAAAGTAGGTCACTCACTATAAATAGAGGTTAGGGAATCATTCAATGTTGTCCTTAATCCTTTGTTTAAATTAGAGAATAGATATGAGGAAGAGAATTGAATTACCAAAAATATCTTTCATTATTCTATAAAAACAAATATAAATTAAAAAATGAAATATAATTGCATATGAAGAAATTATTATTTAAAATTTGAAATATATTAAAAAATTATCTAAAAATGAATTTTAAATTATTTTAGATTTAAAATATATTAAATCCATCCCATATTTCATTCACCCCACCCCATACTCCAGTCAACAAAATATTCAATGTCATAATTATTTATCACTGAAAGCATAATCAATTATGTTTTTTCACACAAATTGATTATAATTACTATCTGAAACAGCATAACTCATAATCGATTATCACCAAGTTTGAACAATGTCTTTCGGTAATCCAATTTCATGTTGGCTTATCATGATGGGTGGCTAAGAGAAACAATAAACTCGTGCATAGGTCATGAGTTGACACTATTCACTTTTCTACCAGAAGTGTTATTCTAGGGCGACTTTATGGTGGCAATCCACATTTGATTGGTCATTTGATTGATATATATGCAAGGAATCCATATTGAGGACAGGGAGATGAAATTGGTCTTGATTTTTGGCTAGTGATTCTGGTGGAAGGGTGCTAGAGGCATGACAACTTTACTGTTCACTCAGGTTTCGTAGAGGATGAGAGTCTATATGTAGTAGATAAAAGAATATTGGCACGTAAAGAAGGGGTAATTTGGAGAGAAAGGAATATTGGCATTTAAAGAAAGGGTAAGATACAGCTGCATTTCATGACATTTCTTCTATTTCTAACCCTTGTAAATGAGCTCTCTCACGCGACAACAGTACATTCACGAATGCAAAACGTGTGTAAGCGATGAGGTCGCAAATATTAAGGATGAACATCACCATAAGAAAAAAAGAGAACATTGATATTCTCTTTTCAGAAAGCTAGAAAGAACATGCTTAAAATCCAACAAATGCATCAAAACAAAAGAGCTAGCTAATCAGTCCCTCTCCACGCAAGTTAATGGAATCTCTGCATAAATACAAATGCCGAAACCATATATAAAGGCTAGTGAATCAGTCCAAAATCAAGTATATGGACAGAGATTTTCCCTAAAAGACCAAGGCATTTTTCTGCAGCCAAAAGGCACCAAAGAAAATCCAAACAGCAATTATCGTTACACATCGCCCTCCTTTCTCTGACCAAGCCCCAAAATTTAAAAAGGCAACCATTACTAGGAAAACAACAAAACCTACATAAACATTCATATTCCCTAATTATTTTTCTATAAGCATCCTTCCTTCATCCATCAATCAATATAAAAAATTAAGTCTCTAAACTCTTTTTGGGAATACAAGAGCTCAGACATTTTGTTCGTCTACTTGTCTTCTACATATGATATGATCATAATTTGCCCTGCTATATTCTCAATAGTAACATCCCAAACTGCAGTGTCAACACCAGTTTTTTAATTCACTCGGAAATGGTGATTAGATTTATAAAGAACTATATAAAATAACATCATTAAAGAGGACTTTGCCATCTAGGATAAGATTGCAATTATCAAATGATTCACAGGTGTGAAACTAATATTATAGGTCATGCAAGAACCATAACTCATTGCTTTGCCATGACATGCATGCTTGGTCTGATGAATCTACAAATCTTGGTCAAGAAACATTGCCACCTTGTCTTTCAAGGTGTTTCTTTTCTTCATTAAGGGGACCATTTCTTCTCCAGCAAGTTCATCTTGACTTTGCCAAGTGAAATCATGGGTAATCTTGGCATTTTCTACAATAGATTTGTTCTTCTCCTCCTTCTCAAGAGTTTTCCTCAGCAAGGGGCCTAAGAACAGGTTCAGGATGTCTTGAGCAGGATCACCTGTTTGAGAGGTGTTTGTAGCAATAACTTCATCGGTTGTTGAAGTAGAATTAGATAAATCTTCCCTTCCAGACTCGGATGAATTTTTGTTTTCACAAGGGGAATCAAGAGTGGTTCCAGTTTCATATCTAACTTGAAATTCCAATTTTGATTCACGCTGTCTACTTGATATTTCTTTTCGATCCTTGTTCTCATATTCGTTGACATACTGAATGCACAAGACAAAGGTTCAAACGTTCAAGCAGAGGTAGGTTAAATATTAAAAGCCTCATACCATCAACCTTGTCTTGGGAGGCTAAATTTCATAGTCACTGAATTATATGAAAATATGTTGATAGATAGAAGAACAGTACAACATTACTCAAGCAAAAAACAAAAAGCCATATCTATCCTTGAATAATATCAGAAAATTACCTGTTCAGCTATGACCATCAAATCTTCAACTGTCAGGTCCACGGCATCATCACTAGATGCTTGAACTTGATAAACATCATAACAACCATGGCTAGGATCCTCTAATTTTTTTCTTTTCTTTGTAGAAGATCTCTGATCTCTATCATTAGACTTATCACTTTTTTTCTTCTTTTGAGTAACCCTATTGCCTCTTCCATCTTTTTGGTCTAATTTTTTTCTTCTGTTAACATCACACATAGTTCTTAAGTTTGGTTTCCTCCTTGAAGGTTCGCTCTTGTAATCTTTCTTGGTTGCATTAGCTGTAATGTTGTCTACTTTTTTCATAGAGCAATTGGTTTCAACAGCCTTGCTAGAGTCACTCGCATGGATGACAGTGGCACCAACCTTCTGCATCATCCATGATGGTAACTGACGTTTACTTCCCTCAACACAAGTATGCATTCCTATAAATAATATTTGAAGTATTAACTTACAATGTAAACAGAATAAACGACTTAAAGAGTTTAATCATCTGCTCAGATAACAAATTTTCTATAAGACGACAAGGGCAAGCAAATCCAGTCATAAAGTCTTTACATAATAGTAAATACGAAGAAGTTCAATTGGGGTTAAAACTAGGGTTTCACAAAATGCACGGTTTTTGTTAAATTTCGAAAGAGAACGCGAATCCCATAGCTGCTGAAAATGCAATTAAAAGAAAAAAAGAAAAGAAAAGAGAGAACCTTGGCTTCATACCTAGAATTGTCAGGGTTCCGATCCAGCACCAAGTTCAGCGTTGAATGAAAGGGATTTTCAGAAGAGACGACAAGCAACTGTGTGGAGATTATACAATCTTTTATGAATTTTTTTTTCCGTTGAAAAGAATTATTTGTTATTAAATTGTAATAATTATTTGTTTTACAGAATATGAAAATAAAAAATGTGTTTACATTATTTGTGTATATATTATTTATTTATTATTTTATGATATTTAAGTATTATTAATTGAATGAAGTCGCGAATAATAATTCTAATAGATTGTTACAGAGAGCGCACGCTAATTAAATTATATTTTACCTTCTTTATATTAATATAAGTATAAATATAAATCTTGATTTTGTATTACTATTTTATTTGAATAAAAACCAAAAAATGTATTTCAGAAATTTTTTTGACATGACATAACAAACGAAAATCTTGATGATAAGTAGTGATTATTAGGATAATTAGTGATCATAAATAAGATCCAATAAATAATTTGATTTTTATTAGTTCCGATAATTATCTTTATCCAACTAATTCTGATCATTCATCCTTATGATTAGGTTTAGTAGATGTGATTTATTTTTTTTATTTTTTTTTACATCTAATCAGTTAGAGAAAGAATATTTAAATTTATTGTTTTTAACATTTAGTGGATCTTGTGAAATTTTCGGAAGAACCCATTATTCAAGTTGAAGATCTTCAACCTTCTTATAATGGATGTGGAGTCTTTATATCTAAGATTTGTGACGAAGATGGTCGACTAAGTTAAAGCACTCATTCTAAAATTGGTCAAGTTTAACTCCAATTTTATTAAATTAATTTATAATATATCATTTTTTTATTTAAAAAATAATTATTATTTAATAAAATATACTAACTTATAAATTTATCATTTTACATAATTTAAATTGATTTGACTAGTATTGATTAAACTAAAATAAATCCGATTGAATTTAATATTTGATTTACCTTAATTTATTTATCGATTTTATATTCAAACTAAGTGTATTATGACTTTTTAATCCTCTGTGAAATAATAAATGTGTAATCAAGAAAAAATGCAAGATAATAAATATGTAAACAACAAATAATACATCTTAAATCTTCATCTTATTTATAAGATTTTGATGAATAATTTTAAATTATTATCTGATTCTTTTGTCTAAAATAGATCTAAATCCGTAATAGAAATCTTCTAAGATGTTATATGAATATAGTCGAGATCTTCTTATGATAATCTAAGTACAAATGTGTATTTTGAAGGTTGAGTCCTTCCTTTGTGGAAGGCAATTAGGATCAAAAGTGGATTTCTATGTAATCTCCAAAAGTGGATGAATATGAATAAGAGAGTGGACACAGATATTACTCCAACATACACAAGCATGTCCATTGTAGGTGGCTTGAGTTTGTTTCGGATTTCGTCTGAGATACATGGATTGTGGATTTTATTTTTCACATAATCTTATAGGCACACATTTTATCAAAATGAAGACAGGTTTGGAACTTGGGAGTTATAATACTAGTAGGTATATGTACTAAAATCCAGTTAAATTAAAGCGTTGTAATAAAATCCATATGAATACGGTCAATACTTAAATCTTGCATATATATAATCGTTCGTATCTCGTGCAATTTTGGAGAAGAGTACCAAACCCAATGCAGACAAACCCATTTTTACCTAGACTAGATTTTGGGACCAGAGGACTAAGCTAAACCTATGTACACTAAACTGGACTTAATTTCCCGCAAAGCAAACCATATATACACCTGAAACTCTTCGGAACTACAATGATGAAGATGACCACGCCATTTACCTAAACTGAACTGGGGTCTGAGAAACACACTAAAATTCTTTGGTATCACACCAACAATCCATGATGAACACCTGGCATCAGCGGGGGTGGAATGGAAGAAGAGAACGACGCTTGATTGTACACCCACATATCATTCAAAAATATTGTGTAATTGAATAATACTTTCAAAATTATTCTTAACAGAAAGTGAGTCCAAAGAATAATGAAACACGTCAAATGAGGTTGTTTTTGCTGGAAGTAACATGATGAGTATATTCTTTTAGAATTTCATTACAGGGATACATGTTAAGTGTTTTCTATTAGTAACTGCAACAAATATGAATCCAGATGAATTAAACACACAATGAAATTCTTTTCAATGAATTAGGCATTCTAAAATAAGAAATCGAACTTTCTTTAGTTAATGAACAACAGCATATATTCAACACTCTTAATATATATATATATATATATACCAGATCCATCTTCACTGGCATTCAGCAAGCATGATAAATAGCTCTTCGTCAGTTATTGCTCCCATCTCCATTGCTCTTTCAAGAATAGTGAGCCCTTCGGCATCTTTAACTGACGGCCTTGCACCCCTGGGAAAATGACACGTTAGTTCATGCTTTCATTGGAAGTGGCAGATGAAAAATCTTAGCTGTTTGTGCAGCGATGAGAAGTAGTCTAAAAACATCTCGTGATACAAACACAAAATAGGGAACTGATGAACAATTCAATTAGTAAAGATTCATGGAAGACAGAAAGTATTTGTTGGAGATAATTATGAATTACGATATTTGAAGAAAACATAGGTAGGAAACAAAGAGGAAATACATATTCCCACTTGCTTCTTAATTCTTTCCAACACAACTCGTAGAAGAATAAGAAAACAGGGAGACAGAGAAGAAAACTTTATGATTGTTTACTATTCGCTACACCATAAGCCCAAAGACAACAACCGGTTTAGTATTACCTTCTTAATAGAAATTTTGCCAATTTATTTTTCCCACTTGTAATGCAATGGTGCAAGGGAGTTCTTCCGTGATAGTCACACATGTTTATATCAGCACCAAATTGGAGCAACAACTCAACCATCAGTGCACTGTCAGTACGACATGCCAAATGTAATAATGACCATCCACGGAAACACCTCTCAGTCTCAATAGTCTCTTCAACCTTAAGACAGGATTCAGGATCATGCTGATGCCCTTCAGCATCAGCAGCATGGTGAACCTCATCACCATATTTTGTATTAATCACATTTGACGTTGATGTAACAATAAGGCGATACACTTCTCGTACATTTACAGACTGAACTGCTTGCCAGATTCTTATGGAAACTGAAGGACTCCTGGGTATATCCTCTTCTCGGATTATTAGTGATCTTTCTACGTACTGGTTCAGAAAAACAAGGATTACATCAACATTTAGGTCACAGCAAAAGCTGTGAAGGAAGCAGAGGCTTCCTAACAGATAATATCATAATACAGCAATACATAATATTAAATGTCAAAATGTAAAACTGACATACAAAATGCAAAAGATTACCACCCGAATTCATTCATTAACGTGAAGTGATCTGGGTACACGATCTCCTCACAAAAGCAAACGTCAACTATCCTATTTCAAATTCTATTAGCAATAGTAATTCTTATCCAATAGAAAGGTGAAATCAAGTCCACAAAACATTCTTCAATTCTAATTGAAGGCCAAACTACACAACTTTTTAAATAGTTAGTTTGGAACTAAAACCTGAATAATCCTTAAGACTTTGGATAATTTAAAAATATTTCCAAGTTCCAACTTAATTAAATGAAATAATAATTTATAATTAAAGAATATGAACAAACACCTCAATAATAATAGAATTTTTTAAAAATTCTGAAGTGGATATAAACTGCCTCATGGAACGAAATTGTCTCATGTCTAACATATCAAGCTGCCTTTATAGCAATAAACCATGAGAGCTTCCATTATAAAACGTGAAATTCAACCAAAACTGCTTACCTTTGCTTGGATGTATTTCTCCTTGATTTGGAAGGCATCTATCGCGCAAGGTTTAATAGGCAGATGTAATGTACCTACTCTGCACATGATTGGTCCCAAAAAGAAAGGATTACAAGCTTTACTACTTAGTCACTCCACATAATAGATAGGATAAATGGCCATGTTTTGACAAATTTCTCCATAAGAACTTCTTAAAAAAAAAAAAAAAGTGTTTCTCTATATGCTAAAATTAGCTATGTTCCAGTTACAAAATAAAATTTACAGAAGCTATATAAGAGAGTTTCTACAATTTAGTTTATGCATAAGATAATTTTAATTTATGGATAAAATCATTTCTTTTTTTCTTCGTATTTTCTCTGACAAATTTTTTGGAGAAGTTTGTCCAAATAGATTCAACGTTCTTTACGTGAAGAAAACCATAATTTACCTTTCATGATCACGTAGAAGCAAGCCCTCCCAGATAGAATTACAATAAGCATTACCTAAGTTATCAAATAACTCCAAAACGGTATTTTCCCAAACCCTAACATCTAATGTTATAGATCTCACCTGCAATTCACATGTAAATATACCTTTAGAAAATTATGATCTTAATACCAAATCAGAAATCACATAATTTAAGAAAATTGATTCAGTTCTATTATAAAGCAAAAATAAGTGGATGCTATTTCTCAGATGTCAGAACTAATGAGTTCTTAAAATGAATGTCCTTGGCAATAACGAAGGAGTTGCAAAAATATGCAAGCACTTTGGAGGGAAGAATTTAAAGAAAGATACAACATAATATGTTAGAGAAAATTTAGAGCATGGGAATGTTTTTTTATTCAGTAGAATAATAAGAATGTAATAGATAGCTTATACAAGAAATCTATATATATAGGCTCTTAATAGACTAACTAGAGAATATTTCCAAAACTAATAAATTAAGTGCCACTTTCTAGACGCTAATATAATACCCATGACCACTACATGAAATTTAACACGAAACATGAACATTCTATTTCCTGAGTGCAATTAGTCTTATTATTTCCAACAGGCATTATTGAAAGAAAATAATATTATACTGAACTAATAATGTACATTCTGAAGAATTAGTAATTATTTGTTACAGAATCCTATATACATCAGAGAATTACTAACAGGTAGACAAGTAGTTGTTACTGACTAATCATGTGAATTACAACTGAAAACAGAAAAATAGAACAGTCAATTACAACTGACAACAAACTGAAAAGAGAAATGCCTCTAACATATAGGTAGTTACAACTGATAGAAAAGAAAAGTGAAATATCTCTAACAGGCATAATCATAAATGAATGGTTAGCATTTATATCTGAAAGAATGCACCTTTGAGATGTGAACACCAAGATTTCGATGCACTCCAGAGCATTCAATACATAGCAATATGCCAAGGTTAAGAGATGCCCATTCTGGCTTAGGAGCACTGCACTCAGCACATTTATCATTCCCCGGAATTCCCCTTAAAATCTTAGAGACACTTCCCACTTCCTTGGAATATACATCATCCTTCGATGATTTCTGACCATCCTCCGATTGACTTGACAAAGAAGCACCAATTGCTGAGTTTTTATTTTGTGAATTCACTCTACCAAATGGAGGCTGCAGCAATTATAAATGAAATAGTGTTGACATAACATTTTATATGGACATCTTGGCATGATGGTATAATTCAATAAGTTTGAACCGATAACCTGTTGGAGAAAATGTGAATTAAAAAGTGATGTAATAGCTCCAGTAATTTTGTTTACCCAGTCCATCCTATCAGCTTCATTTTCGGCCTGGTGAAACCAATTTGGAAAATCAGCAAAAATTAAAACAATCCATAACTACACAAGCAGGGACACAGAATTTGGTATAAGATATAACATAGCAGCTCAATCTAAAAGATACAGATCTACAACTTTAACCAACAAAATGTCTATTTGCTCTTGAAATAGAAAAAATGCATCACAAACGAGGGATCATACAACTTACCACCAAGTTAACACGATCTCATTTCATGAATAATTAAAAATATATAAAATAAGTCAATCAGTCACCTGTAGTGTGTATGTTTTGGAGGGAGAAATTATTCGGAAGCAAAGTCGTAGATCTGTATCCTCTGCATCCATCTTTATAGTCGATGTGCACAGATCAACTGTACAACCTAAAATATCGTCATTTAGTGATGCAGCCCTGTTGTGTTTCAAACGGAATCTACCAAACATTCCACTATTTTGTTCAGAAGAACCCTGGGGACAGATTAGGAAGTAAACATTACCAGATTGATTGATAGGTCAAAACAAATATAAGACAAAAATAACTACCATGGGTTTGACACCCTTCACTCTGTAATAATATAAACTCCCTTGGCTATCAAGTACAAAGAACCTTCGTTTCCAATCTCCACGTGAGCTTGATGACCGTTTTAACAGATAACCCTGTTTTATTGTTTGAAGCTGTATGCAAGTGTAAAAAAAAAATATAAGTCATTAAAATAAAGAAAAAAGGAAAAAAATAAAAACCAATTTATTTAAGATAAAGTCATAAACAGAAGGACTTTCATGTATTAACGAGAGAAGGCCAATTACTTGCCTCCCCTTTGGTTGCAGCCAGCATCCCTGAATCTAAACTTCTGTATGAGTTCAAACCTACAACGTGGCCTTCAGAGCCTGGCATGGTTTCTGTAAAATTGCTTGATACTCGTATATTCTCCAGCTCTGCCTGTGTTCTGTATTCCTGAATCCGTTTTGCAAGCTTATCTTGCTCAATGTTAGCAAGTTCTTTAGATTGCTGTGCATATGTTAGCACCTAATTTCATGAAAGTACCGAAAAGTAAAATCAAGTCAGAATTTTTATGCAGCAATCTAGAATTGAGTCATTGAAAGTCATCATTATCAAACATCTTAAATAGATTACTTCAAAGTTAATCATTATAAAATAAAACTGTCAAAGATAAAATCTTGAAGTGTCACAATGTATAATTACAACAACCCATTGTTTATACATAACATGCCCCAAATCAAGTACTTGAGAGAAATATTATAATATTTGGATGTGTCGCCACAATCCAAATCGCCCTCATATTTATAATGGAAGGTTGTAGACATACATTGATTAGAAGAGAGATGAAAAAATTAACATCTAGAAGATACAACTCAGAGATAAATACAACTAATTAATATCAATCTAGTAAATATAAATCTTGTAAATCTAACACAGGTATTATAAGAATCAACAGCATAGAACAAGCAAGAAAATGGTAGGGAGTACAGTCCTAGTAACAGTATAAGATAGTGCAGGAGATATCTTCTCAAGCTGCGAAAAATTCAAACACAGATATGACAGCCTGCATAATATTGATAATCCTATTTGGTAACGCTACCAACATTTTTAATAATTAAAAGGGAAGTCCAATGCAAATAGCTGTTGGAAAGTCCCACAATGCTTACCTCAATCACTAAGGTGAAGTTTAAAGACATGTTGTGCAACTTCACTTGACACTTTTAAGATACAATCTATCATGTTATCAAAACATATAGTTCATCTTCATGTATCACCTATTTTGGAAGACATTTTTCTACTAAGCATATGTGGAAGGTGTGTTGGAATTTCCTGTGTTAATTGGCTCAGATACTGGACTTTAATTTAAATAACTGTTGAGAAATTTCATCTAATATCAATTGGTTTTAAGATGCAATCTAACAAAAGCTCCCACCAGGTGGGCTCTCGGGAGGGTAAATGTACACAGCCTTGTTGCCACAAGCAAAGAGATTGTTAGTTGGATTTGAATCTAGGATCCCAGATCATAAGGCCGCACAACTCACTGCTATGTCAAGGCTCACCCTCAACATTTTTAACTTTAATCACATAAACTTTAAACTTTGATTAATCAACACTCCTAGCAACCCCCAAGGAACATTGAGAACAAATATGATATAAGACAACAGAGACAGCTACTCTTAGAAAAAAAATTTGTTTGGATATGGAATATGATCATTTCAAGTCTTGAGTAGTCAATTTATGAAAAGCAGTTAATGACAACAGCAGTGGTATTGCATTTAGGAGCTAAAGGCTATTTATGCCATACATTTACAAGCAGCACTTTGGCATTGATCATGAACAGGAGCCTCATAATAAAGGCACAAGGTTCATATATTAGATTATTAATTCTGACTAATCATCAGAATATTAATACACCATATTCACTGAACGATAGTGAAGAATGAATCAACAAACAATAAGTGTTCACTAAAGAGATACATGAAAAGAATCAAGCGATAGAAAGTTCAAGCATATTTCGACGTTAAAGTCATCTTACAAGGTAGTTTCCTTTTTTCCCTTTCTCAAGCACATATTGAACAACTTTTTAATGAGAGTTCAGATGCAGTGTCACAAAGCAGTGTCATCACTATGCTAAGTCAATTCTCCATGCCCAACAAATATGCAAATAAGAAGACTGTATTATACAAGGAAAATTATTGTTCACACTCGGTAGTGGAGGAAGGGTGCAATTGATATTAATGATCCAGACACTTATAAAGCGCACTTCATCTATTCCATTCAACTGCTAAACGTTGTCATTTGAAATTAGTAAAATAATAATTAGTAAATAAAATGCCCTAGCTTCAACTTGATAAAGTCAATTTGGCTACTAAAAAATACCAAGGCATGTCAATTGTAATCCCTTTCCAACAGTTCTATCAAATACGTTCATAAATTTATTTACTTGTAAGAAACAAAAGAGAACTACACTTTATACCTGGTGAATATAGGGCTCCATTTGACTTAGTAAATCATGACCCTAAAACAAAAGATAATTTGTTAAGTACAAAGTAAAAATCAAAAACATAAAACAAAATTATGCAGAATTGCTATAATTTTACAGACCAGCTTAAAATATCTCAAATGAGCATCCATAATTGCACTAATGGACTCCAAGAACTCATACTTCTTTTTTGCTTCAATATTCATGAGTGAGTTTACCTGCACTCCTTAAAACCCAATGCCAGGTTCATAATAAAAAACACTGCAGAGAGGTAAGAGAAAAAAAAGATTCATAATTGTAGAAGACATACTAGATTGAAGCGACTTTTTTCAAATGTTGATTTTGAATTTTGTAGATCCTGCCAGGGATCAGAGTATGAGATAATTAATAAAATAATGACTAACAGCTAATCATAAAAAATATGCCAAAAATTAAACTAACAAAAGACTTAACTATGTTTATGTAAATAAATATGACTAAATTGATTTTAGTCCTCCAAAAAAATGTGTTGGTTTTAGTCCTAATATATTTTAATTTTTTTTTAAATAAACCTGGTTACTGTCACACATGGTCCATGGCATGTGATGTTAACATTAACATGTCTAGGTGTATGTCTGGACACTTATAATAAATCATGATAGAAACTTTTTTCAGAGGTTCTAAAATTTGAGGGCCCAAACCAACGTATATGGAGAATTAACATTAATTTTAGCTCTATTAATAGGGATTAAAATACATATCTTACCCAAAAAAGTACAGAACATAATATATTTCAAAATTATGTGAACAAATAAGTTGCGTCGTCCTTGAATCAAGATCAAGAAGATAATAAAATAAAATCAAAAGTCTTGCCTGTGACAGCAGACCCTGTAATGTATAAGTACATTAAATATAGATATCTGAACTACAAGGAGCAACCTCACTAAATTGTCCCTTAAATCTATATTTTCCAGTTTTGATACTACAGACTGTATACCTTCCACCTCAAGCTGATCATAATTTCAGAGTCAGAATCATTGGAGATATTATCATTCAAAGTGCTAATAATATATGCACAACCCACTCAAACTCAAAATAAATTGCTAGGTGCCATAATTATAACCGAGTAATGCTGAATGTTAACTGTGTTACTGATCATATCAGACCTTCTCAAAGTTGAAACAAGACCTAATTGTATGAAAACTAGTGGGAAAGAAAATTCAACGAAAAGGAAAAGTTCTAGGAGTTAGAGCACCTAGTCTCTCCCAAGGTCCCAGCTAATTCCAGCCTACACTCTCAATTCTCACTCCCTAGACTTTCACCTCTACAGCTAAGCAATTAGTTAATCGAAGCAACCATTCTGATTCTCTTTCATATTTTTATGATCCCCTAAAATGCCATTCTTTTTCTTTCATAGCATAAACCTAAGTTATATTGGATTTGGGCCTAACTAGTTCAGGATTTCTATCATACTTTTGGAGTTCCTTCTAAATTCAGAAAGGATGCTCGTTTCAGGGTGTGGTGGTATTAGCAAAAAAGCCATTCAAAGTCCATGAGTTATGTAACTCCTATGGAAGAAAGGGCAGTACCTAAGACAGGTTAGCTATTGTAAGTTTCACATGATATTGTATTAGTAATAATGTCCTTTAAAGTTGTCTCTTCTGAAGTCACAAGATAAGTTTTCATCATTATCTGAAATCATGACACAGTACGAGAAAGTAAGGGAAACCTCAGATTCGACTAGAACTTTTGAGAAGCTACTAATCATATACAAATTGATATGGCAAACCTCTTCTAATTCAGAAACAACTTCATCTGGTGTATTCTTCTTCAAAGAGACAAACTTCTCACGTGACTGGATTACAAAGATAACAAATATGTTAGAGATCATAATTGCTAGTAACTCTGTGAAATTGTGTATTTTGTTTAAATAGACTCCAGATATACATAAAACATAAGATAATCAAAACTATGATGCTAAAAATCAAGGATGCAAGCAATTTACTGCTTTCAAAAAGAGGCACGCATATGCAAAATGAGAATGTCTTTGCAAGCAAGACTACTCTAGATGATTTAAATTAGCATTGAAACCACTGTCAAATTAAGCAAACCTTACCTAAATCTTGTGAGCACATAGATTGTAAAATAGCAGTTTGAATTACCTAGGGCTCTCGTCCAAATATAATTTACCATAAACAACTCTTTAGTCAAATAGAAAAATTAAACAAAGAGCATAGGAAATAATAAGTCCACATATATCATGGTCAATTACCTTAAAAGCCAAAATTCTTATGAACCTATACAAGCATGACATGTTTAACCATCAAAGGAATACAATCATCCAAGCAACTCTCTTATGATGAATCCTACAAGTCGATAAATAACTAAATGACTTCAAAAACAACAAGAAGCGATATATATATATATAGGCAGACATCACAAAAGGAAAAGAATTATCATTTAGTCAATGTAAAATAAAAGCATTGAATTTGCAATAAGAATTTCTAAACATCACAAGGTGTGAATAGTATATCTTCCAATTAGTTGTTGTTAAGACTTTTATTTTGTTACTGTTTTTATCACAGTTGAAACCCTCTATTTTATATAAAGAAACTCTCGTAATTGTGTGATGTGTTTGAATAGATATTCTTTTTCAGTTTTTCTTTCTCTCTCCTCTCTCTTTTTCTCTCAAAGAATAGTGTTGGAATAAATAGGTTGAGTGAAGTTGTATTAGAAAGCTGTTTTATGTTGTATCTATGAGTTGTACCTATCACTGTAACCGTTTATCTCCCCTCTAGTTGTACATGTACTTTATCGTTATAAATAAGAAATCACATTCGAGGTGTGATTAAGCCCTCTAAATCATATTTTTCTCTTTTACTTACTCTTAAGTAATAGTAATACAAGGGATGCATTGCGGATCATAAGAATGTTTAAACAATACCTGATCATAAGAATGCACAGCTTTGTCAAAACGACGACGAGAATCCTGATACAAACAAGCATGAAGTAAATTTGTAAATGTAATGCTCGTATGTAAAACAGAATTTCTACAAAATAAAATTAACCTTGGAAAAATAAATACCTTTGCATCTTGCAAATCAATTTTCATAAACTCTGTCAGCCTGTCAATCAACACATGCTCTACCTATACAAGAAATCTGTGACATAATTACTCAAATAAAAAAATCTATGCCAATAAAACATTGAGTAAGATGGTGATAGAACAGGACTATCTCCTATTAAATAGGTGTATTAGAAAAAGAATAAAATGGTGTAATGTTTTGAAAGCTGTCAGTTAGTCGAGCCGAGACTATTAATAGGATATATTTATTAGTAGATAGGAGAAAAAGAAAGAGATTAGTTTGAAATTTGTGAGGGCATAGGTGCCTCGGACCACCAGGGAGAAATTCTATTGAGAACTATTTCTTGAGAATGTGGTGTACTATCATTTCAATTAAAGATTTCTTGCTTTTTTATTCCTATTTTGATCCCAGTTTTAACAGATGGCCTTGGAGATTGCCCACGTACACTAGTGTTTCACTTTAATTTTTGTCTCTCTTTATTACTTTACTTACAATCTAGCAGATCCGATGCAAACAGCAAACATTCATGAAAAAGAAAACCTTTAAACAAGTAAAGAAGTTTCAACTAAAGTTTGTTATATTACAAAGTTATAACCTTCAAACCATTCTTTGTCGGCTACAAAGCACCCATACTTATCCAATACGTATCGTGTCGGATACTTTACCGATACTTCCCTAATACGTATCAATGAAGTATCCAAACCTATGAAACATCAATATTTTTATTTGTTTTACAAATAATACTTTTAGATAGTTTCCCGATGTGTATGCTAGTTAAATGTCACAACTTTTAAATTATTTATATTCAATAATAGTTTAAGAAATATATATATATATATATATATATATATATATATATATAATAGAAACATATAAATATTAATTTTCATAAATCAAAGAAAAAACGATTGTTCTTAATGAAAATGATAGTCTTATTATTATATGTAAATAAGAGAAAATATTTTATAATGATAATTATTTATATTTTTTATTTCCACAATATCTAAGAAATGTGATTTAAAATTTAGATTTGCATGATTATAATTTATTATATTTCATGAATTTTTTTACATTTTTAAATAGATATCATATATATTGTATCTTTCTCTTTTTTTTAATTAACTTATCGTCGTATCATGCATCATAGTTTGTCGGGCAAAAAGCTTAACTTTCCATATGTTTAGTCATCATTTATACACTGCTTCAGTTTTCAAAATATGGAAACTGTTCTTGAAGTTCCATTTAACTTTTCTAGAGTTATAGAGGAATGGACTGCATAATTTCGTATCATTTTTTTTTCTTCAATTAGACGTGCTTTTGACATGACACAATTCAAAGACACAATGTAAGAGGAAAAAGGCCACATAATTATCATTTTACTACTATAGCTATAGACATGAATCTAGGCAATCATTACTAGATCTTTGATTCGAACATTGTCAGTAAATGGGCACTCAATACATTAAACCAACTTATATCCTGACAAAAAACCATTTTCTTCAAGATAAAACACCTAAAGTAACAAGTAGTTTAATCACAATTAGAATTCCAAGAAAAATAGTGCAGTGCAGCATTCTGGTTAAAAGACTCACCTGTGAACGAAGAAGCTCTTTAAAAGAAGCTAGCTCACGCAGTGCGGTAATAAACTTAGTTATGACTGGCCCTACAAAAAAAAAACAGTTGGAAAGAAAAATACACATTACTCTTAGTAATGGTCAGTGATGTCTTCATGATACAAGTGATGTGGACATGACCTATGACAAGGATTAGAGTAAGAGAAGCAAAGAAAGTTTTTCAATAAATATTGTTGGTTGACCAAATTGAGTTTTGGATTAATCAATTAATGGGCTTTAGTTTGGTTTTATTGCAAGTTGTAATAAGGGCCTAATTGAAAACTTAGTCATCAGTATTTGGGAGACCAAAAGGGTGCATAGCTGATTGACTTTTGGTTACCACAATTTCAGTTACAATCAGTCATTAAGTAGTATCAATTCTTAGGTTAATGGATCATTATTAGCCTTTATTTGTCTCCATTAAGTAGTTTTCAATTCCTAGGTTAATGAATCATTATTAGCATTTATTTTTCTTTATTAAATCTTTGTAATTCTGATGGCAAAACTTGTATATAGGTTGAACCATATTAGTCATTAAGTAGTATCAATTCTTAGGTTAATGGATCATTATTAGCCTTTATTTGTCTCCATTAAGTAGTTTTCAATTCCTAGGTTAATGAATCATTATTAGCATTTATTTTTCTTTATTAAATCTTTGTAATTCTGATGGCAAAACTTGTATATAGGTTGAACCATATTTCTATCAAATATAACAAGTTGAATTTTATTTAAAAATATTAGAGTTTAACTCTTTTATCTTGGTGAGAGTGATTCTTCTAAATTCTTGAATGATTCAAGAACACTTGACTGAATCAAAGGACTTTCACATCCTTTGTGAGTCGTCTCCCTTGGGAAGAGTGATTCTTTCCTTTCACCTTATCACTAAATTCCTAAATTTCCTACAAGGTTTTAAACCTAAAGATCCTAAATCATCCCTTGTGCTATTGAGATTCATATCAACAAGGCATCCCAATTATTATATTATCACAAGGCCCCAAAGGAGTATGGAGCTTCAGGGGTGACAAGGCTGTCCCTGAGGAAGTTATCTAGTGAAAATGAAAGGGTGATCCTGAATTAGATAAAAAGTCACTTACTAAAAATTTAAAATCATCAGTCAGTTGTGAAGTTAAAACCTCTTATGAGATAAAGAAAAAGAAACTAAAACTATAAACTACTAGATCATTTAACAGTGCGCAAAAATATAGTTGCTTCATAAATGAAGCACATATACTCATCTTGCTTGAGGAGTCAGGTAGTCAAACAAGTATCCAACACAGACACCTTTCAAACACTTGTATGGCACATGTCAGGTACTCCTCAATAAGTGTTCCTTTAAGAAAACATTTTTTTAGTTCGGATACTTGAGCCAACACTTGCACCTTCACACAGATGGATACCTCAAGGAGACTAGTTTTTTTTTTTTTAAAAACATTCAGAAAAAATGACTTTTAGCATAACATAAAATATTTAAAAATAAAGTCATGGTAAGGCTTATTATGACAGAAGGATGAAAATACAAGATTATACAAATCTTGATCATCATTGTAATTTTTTGTTATGTTATTTATATTTATTTCATTTGACACTCACATACAGTGTTGTTAATCCCAAAGTTTGTGTTCGGAAGCACCTTTGGATTTCACATTTTTTAATATAGAAGAGAAAATAAAACAATATATGAAAAAAGAAATCTCAACAACCTCCAATTGATACACTAACAGGGTCATCTTGGCCACCACCAAATACTTCTAATGAATCAGCAAAGGATATTTCTCCATTGTATGCTTCCCCTAAAGCAGTCCTGGAGGAGTTACACAACAAAGAATTAACAACTTCCAGGTGATGTGGTTCCAATAAATAGTTTGCTGGGCAAAATTGATTGGTAAAAATTTCTATCAAAATGTGATGCTGGTCTGTATAAAGCCACATATTGTAGTCATCACAATCATTAATCAATAATCATCCAAAGTTACAATTAGATGAAAATCATTATTACAAAAGAAGTGGCTCTTTTATCATTTAATTAATCTTGATGAACATTAATAGTTAGATATTCAACATATACCAGTTCATGGCCAAGTTTGGTAGTATTAACATCAATTTTGAGTTCACACATTTGCATTAAATTAATAGACCAACTTAAAAGTGTAAAAAACATAATGAAAAAGTCAAAGAAGAATAAAATTAGAAACAAACTAGAGAAAGTACAACTAGGAGTGGGATAAGAAATTCTCCCAAAAGAATATTAAAAGATAATGGTGATCCAACACAGCTCACAAATGCAACAGCGCAATCTAATTTCTTAGCATATGTGATGAACAATAGCAATCCCTTAGGAACAACCATGAACAGGGGAGAAAAAGCATCCCTATACTTCTTTCAGCTGTATTCAAGAAAAACATTCAGAAATGGCTTCAAAATGTAGAATTGACTTAGTAAATAAAAAATAGATCCAATACTCTATATTGGAATGCCCTGAAACACTTACATAAACTTCTTACACCCGTTATATAGTTTCTGGCACCGATCCTTTAACTCATCAGCTGTTTCTTCAAGACAAAATAACTGTCCCATGGAAATAGATAAATAAATTACCGCAAGAAATCATCTAGACAACAATAGTAATGAACTAGTAATTTCCAAAACAGTTACTAATCCAAGAATCTTGATCAATGTAAATCAATATAAATAAACGGAAATCCATACACACACACACACTTACTTTTGGGGGAAACAGGACAAGTTACATAAATTGAATAGAGTAAAGGAGTACAAAAGTAAACAATAAGCAATCTACTTTCTGGAGATAAAAGGAACAACATCAAACAAGACAGGAAGAACACATCTTCACCTACACACACAGACATCTTTCCTACAAAAGTGGCAATGGAAGTTATCTACCTTTCAGAAAAACCTCGTATAAATCCCTATTTCCTTGCTCAAATTCAAATCAACAAGAACAAAAATTCCAAAGCAGTCCCAAACTAAAGCCTCACTCCACAACTTCCAATCAAATCCCTAAAGTAACCAACAATTTCTGGTTCGCTCGATAAGAAACAGTATTTTAGAAGGCAAATATAAACTCAGAATCCAAGCTTGTCTTAGATTTGCGAGGGAAGGGAAAGGGAAAACAAAGCATCGTGAGAAACTAGCGCAGAGCAGAATGTTGTAGGAGAAAGGAGTGTTGTGAGTAAAGCAAATCTGAGGCGAAGCTAAAATTGAAGGAGAACAGATTGCGAAAAGTGTGATTGAGATTGGGGAATGATGAGAATGAAAGAACCTGTTTCTGGAACATAGGGGAATCATCGAGCTTGACGAAGGCTGATGCCATTGTCGCGTTGGTCGGTGTGGCGAGGGTGGCTCAAGCTCTGTTATGTTACAGTTGAGATCGCATGTCAATGTGTTATGTTACGGAGAAGGAGACGGAGATGCAGCAGCTATGTAACGTGACTATTTTGTCCCTGCTTTTAACCCACCTTCTACAACTTTTTATTATTTGTAAATCACATTACTTATTCAATCAGAATTTATTTTATACATATATTCAAACGTGGAAATTACTATATTACACCGTCATTACTTTCACATGACGCTTAAGGTTGTGTTTTACAATTTTTATTTTAATAGCAACAAAACTTAAAAATAGCTAGCAGGTTAAGAAAGTTGAGTTACTAAATGATCTTTGCCCTATTTTGGTGAAAAACATAAATGAAATGCAAATAATTAAAGGCGCTACTATATTTTTTTTATACCAATATATAAAGGATTATTTTTTTATCAGCTTTTAATTATATAATCGGAAATAAAAAAAATATAATCTATATTTATACTATATATTTCTTTATTTATTTTTATCAATCACCCGTTCTTTTTTTTCTCTCAAATATAAAATAATAATAAAATATTATTTTTTCCATACCCCTCGATTAAAGATTCTTTTCAATTTCTTTTTCTTCTTAAAATTCTGTCTCTTATTTATTTATTTTTAACAATTCATAATTTCAAAAATAAATATTTATATTATAAAATTAATATATACATTAAACTTTAATAAATTAATACAGAGTGTATTTTTACTTGTTTAAAAAGAAAGAATGTTATTGTATTACAAGTACAAGTTATTGATCTATATTTTATAAATTGTATTAATTATATATAACATTATTAGAAATATTATAAGAGAAAAAGAAAATAAGATTAAATCAAATTGATTGACTTTGTATTTGAATCGAAAAGTATATTTGAGAAAGTAATTAAATTATAAAAAATAAAGAAAAATAAGTAGAAAAATTATAAAAAAAAATCAGTTTAATTGATTAAAATATTATTTTATTTTTTTAAAATTATTTATTATTATAATAATTAAAAAATAATATTTAAAAAAATTGAGACATAATCAATAGTATTCTTTTCACACAGGAAAATAAAGAAAAAAATGTTAGTTTTTTTTGTAATGTTTTGTGCACTTTCCTCTATCACTCCTCTTCTTTTTATCCAATCCAAACATAGTAAAAGAAATAAAATTGCAAAAAAAAGTCATATATATCTCATAAAAATCATATATAATATAAATTTTCTATTAAAAAAAAGTTCTCAATCAATAAAATTATTAAACCATCATTAAACCTATTTTTTTCTTGAAAAATATAAAATTTATATTCAAGAAAGACTATAAAACATTAAATCATTTATTACTTAATCAAAAAATTATAGTAAAAAGATTTAACATAAGAACACAATCTTAATTCAAAAAGTTCTCCAACTTTTTTTATAGTAATACAAATAACATGCATAACTCACGTAAAAATACCATCACAAACTTGTTTATGTCTATTATCAAAGTATGTTTCATTCGTACTGCATTTGATTTATCCTGTTTCAATAAGAGTCCAATCCATATGAATAATTTTATTTGATTTCTTGGTGATATAAAAAGTTAAAAATACCTTAATAATTTGAAATCATCAATAGTACAATACATGTTACTTATCAAAGAAGTAGAACGATTTACAGAAGAAAAAAAAAACAACTTTTTGATATGGTGGTATTGAATCTCTATCCCTCAACACTAATTTTTTCAGTCTGTGCCAAATCTTGTGTAATAAAAGAAAACATCGTTGTGAGCACCAAATTACTCCAATTTCTTATGCTACACAATGTTAATAGTATCCAATCTTTCATGAGAAATGCTTTGAAGGCATTTCTATAACCTAGCTGCAAATGTTGATAAACACATGGTTGTCAATTTCATAAACATTATGACAACGAGAGAAAATAACATCACATTAATATATATTTTTTTAATTATTATTACTAAAAATAACAAAAAAAAATGCCATAATTGATTTTAATCATTAAAAAATACTTAAATCTTTTTTATTGTAAAGACATAATCGATCATGATAATAATATGCATGACCAATTCCACATATTTTATTTGTATCTTTGTTAGGAAAGGTAACTGTTTCATTTGTCTCTTTTCTTTACATAATCTCATCTAAACTACCACGTCTTCTTTACATCCTCTTCTCATTCTTGAAGTCATTCAAACCAACCATAATCCACATATTAAATGAAATGGTGGGAGTATGATATGATTATATATTTCATGTATCATAATTAAGCATTCATCCTTCTACAAATGCCTCTGTTTTGTCCATTTCCTTTATATTGTCGAAGACTTTCAATTTTCTCCTTTTTACTTCGATTTTTATCTATCACAGAACTCCATGTCGTCGCCCTAAAGAAATTCGTCCATATTCTCTAATGGGTAGTTGACAGAATGACATTAAAGCTTTTCTTTTGCCTTTACCAGGAGATATTCCAAACAGTGTTTAAAGAGATGTTTCTAACGTTGCTCTTCTTCTTCTTCAACCTTTTTCTTAATAAGCTCAAACTCCAATTTCCGTCTATATCAATTTCTCTTTAATATGCTGAAAGACCAACAGAAGCCTGAACGATTTAAAGCATGCATGGAGTTAGCTTATAGATCAGATTCAACAATAATCAACTCACAAATTCAAAAAGACAGAAACGAAGCATAGGAACCTGAACAAGATTTTTGCAAAATCTTCACAAGTATACATTGATGACAAGTTTTTGCAAACTCATGTACCCTTCAAGAGATCAAGAAAGAACCACGGTAAAAAGTGATGAGGCAAATATGGGATTTTACCATGGTTGAGTTTTTGCACTATATCAGTGTAATTTTGTATCTTGAACAAGGATTAATGGGTCATTTTCTTTTTCTTTTACAAAACACCCCCTTCCAATTTGGGGGAAAGTCAAACGTATCAAAGAAGGATGTTAAGGTTGATTAAAAGTCCCCAAACCATTTCCCTTCTCTTTAAATATCTCCCAAATAAAAATATTGGGAAAACACATCCTTTGTAGAAGGATACCTTTTCCCTTTCCCTCTAATCCCCCATCCAAACACAGCTTTTAACTCAGGAATCAAGACCATATACTTCTATCCGACTATATCCTGGAGTCTTTTCCACTCGTAATCCTTTCATGAGCTTCCTGACCTGCGCAGCTGCTTCCCAGTTTCGACACATTTTATACATGTTTGCCAGAAGTGCATAACTACCACTGTGGTTTGGCTGCTGATTTACCAATAAACTCCCTATACGTTCACCCATTTCAAAATCTTTGTGGACCATGCAGGCACCAAACAAAGCCCCCAGTACGGCAGGGCTAGGCTTCATTGGCATATTATCAATAATTTGTTTGGCATCTTCCAAATACCCTGCTCGACCAAGCATATCAACCATGCAACCATAATGGTCCATCTCTGGCTTCAATTTATAAGCATTTTTCATCAATTCAAATAACCTTTTCCCTTCATCCACAAAACCTCCACGAGAACAAGCAGCAAGAACGCCAACGAAAGTAACTTCATTAGGTTGAATACCACCTTTAAGCATGCAAGAGAAGATATTCAATGCTCCTAATGCATCCCCATGAGCAGCCAACCCGTTAATTATTGCTGTCCAAGTGTACACATTCTTAACTGGCAAGTGTTCAAATACCTTTAAAGCTTCATCAATACACCCACATTTTGCATACATATCCACCAATGCAGTCCCTAGCACTGAATTCAGATTTATTTTACTGCCCTCTATGTATTGATGAACATGCCTTCCTTGATCCAAAGCTCCCATGTGAGCACATGCGCTAAGAACACTTGAGAGTGTAAACTCATTGGGTGCAACATCATCCAATAGCATGTCCCAGAAAGCACGAAGTGCATCATGGAACTTGTTACTTTGCAGATAACCAGCTACAAGCACGGTCCAACACACTACATCTTTGTAAGGCATTTCACTAAACAATTTGCACGCATCCTCACAATGACCACATTTGAAATACATATCCATAAGAGCACTACAAACATAACCATCCACCGGCACTCTCCCGGCTTCCACGTAAAACCCATGAACCCACCTTCCGAAATTAGCATCACCCACCAATGCAGCTGCACGTAAAATGCTAGCCACAGAGACCGCATCAACCCTTGTGTCCGTCATTCTCATTTTCACAAAACACCAGAGTGCCTCACCAGGACACTCATTTTTAACATACCCATTGATTAATGCAGTCCAAGAAACAGTGTCCTTGACGGGACTTTCATCAAACACCTGGCGTGCACTTTCCATAAACCCAGAATTCGAAAACGCCGGAATGAGTGCATTACCAACGAAGAGATCAAGATCAAACCCAAGTTTAAAAATTTGAGCATAAATCATAAAAGGGTCACGTCCAATGGACTTGGAGAGCGTCTTGAGGAGCAAAGGGAAGGTGTGTTTGTCTGGTAGCACACCCTTTCGTCGCATTTCTGCGTAGCACAGAAGGGAGATGTGGGGGTGGGAGGAGGCTGCGATGATTTTGATGATTTTGTTGAAGAGGTGAGTGTTGGGAGTGTGAATAGTGTTGAAGAGAAGCCAGATGCAGGTATTTTGATTCTGAGCGAATGGCACACATTGAAGGAGTTTGGTGAGGAAAAGAGTGGCTTGTAATGAATAGAGGCCAGAAGTGACGATGATTGATTGAATTTGCTTACATTGTTGCCATGTTTGGTGTTTCTTGAAGAGGGAGACAATTGTGTTGCTCCAGCGAGATAAAGCTTGCATGTCATGACATTGGTGCAACAAGCCACGAGAACCAGGGTGATTACTTTACTTTACTTCACTTCACTCCCTTTGTGTTACGGTTACACTCCCCTAAATTTCTATTCACACTCCCCTTTCTTTATTTTTATTATTATTACATAAAATACCCAATTTATTTATTTTTTTCTGAAAGTGTATAAACCTGAACACTTATTTTTATCACTAATCTTTGGTTCTCCTTTTAACTACTTTAATGAATTTTCTATACATTTTAAGTTCGTAAGAGAAGCAAACTCAATAAATCATAATTATGAAAAAAAAAAAAAAACGAGACAGAGACGTTAGAAGAACCATTAATGTATATAATCGTTGATTCCTTATACTCTTTTATTATTGTAAAAAAATAATCTAAAAAAGACTTATAAAATTGATTCAATTAAAAAAGAATTAAAAGCCTATAAAAAATTCAAACTTTTAATACACCCAGATAAAATGAAATATATGTTTTTCTTTATATATCTTTTATAATTGATGTGTGTATTAAATAATTAAATTTTTGTATTCACTTTTTTTTTCATATCAATCAACACTCTCTTTATTGATTCTTTATACTCTTTTCTTCTTTTCTCATTTTGTACAAAGCATATATGTAATAGTAGATATTATTTTATTTTAGTTTATAGGGGTTAAAAAATATTTTATCCATTTCATTTATTTTGATATTTTTCATATTTTAAAAGTGAATGAATAATAGGCTAACTCATCGAGTAAAAATCGGAGTTTATTTTTTATATAATTTTATTCTATTTTGTCTTTATATTAAAATGATGAATGTTGGGTTTCACATAGAGAAGAGTTTGAGAATATAGGATGAGCGAGAAAGATAATACGTACAAAAATACACTAGCAACAACTCATTTTATTAGGTGATGTGTCTTGGTATTTATACTGCATACCAAGTCAAACTAATATAACAAAAAAAAAGAAACAGAACTGTTAAACTCAGTTTTTAATCACATATACTAACATTCCTTCCTGATTCAAAACACATTCAAACATATTATTCAAAACACACTTCATTTAATATCATCTTCAAGTACTTAAATCTTTCAATTTTCCATGGATTGGTCATGATATCAGCCAGTTGATTTTCGATCTTGCAGTGCTGTAACTAAATTACCTCATTGTTTACTTGATCTCTCAAAAAATGATACTTTGTCTCTATGTGTTTACTCCTACCATGAGACATTGGATTTTTTGTCAGGTCTATAGCAGACTTGCTATCAATAATTAATACATCAGAATGTGAATCACGAACATTCAACTCAGTGAGAAGAGAAAGCAGCCATGAGGCTTGTCATGCTGTAGAGCAAGCTGATATATATTTAGCTTCACAACTTGATAAGGCAACCACTGTTTGTTTCCTTGAATTCCAGCTAATTGTTGAGTCATTCAACATAAACACTTGGCCTATAGTACTTTTCCTGTCAACTTGATCACCACTCCAGTCAGAATCTGAGTATGCAATCAGCCTTATATCACCATTTTCACTCTTCAGTTTGTCAGTAAATAACAACCCATTCTCCACAGTCTCTTTTAGATATCTCAATATTTGTTTTCTCGCAAGCATATGAGACTGTTTTTGTCTATTCATGAACCTGCTCACCAGACCAACACTAAATGTTATCTAGGTCTACTTTGGCATATGAATCTCAAACAACCTACAATCTATCTGAATAAAGTTTCATTTACAACTTCTTCATCTTCATTTGCTACAAGTTTCAAGTTTGCCTTTACAGGAGTTGCAGAAGAGTTACACTCCAACATATTAAACCGTTTAAACACCTCTATTATGTACCTTCGTTGGTGTATAATGATTCCTTTCTTAGCGTAAATGAACTCCAGCCCAAGGAAATATGACAACAAACCTAAGTCAGACATTTCAAATTCACGTTTCAGCTTTTTCTTAACTGATTCTATGTCATCTTCATTACTTCCTGTTATCACTAAATTATTAACATAGAGACAAATGATGAAGATTTCACTTGACTCTATGGTCTTCACGTATACATCATGCTCCATAATGCATTTCTGAAACCCAGCACTACTAAGAAATGTGTCTATTATTTTATTCCATGCCCTTGGAGCTTGTTTTAAATTAACCTATATAAAGCTTTCCTCAGTTTAAACACTTTTTGTTCACTTCCCTTCACCTCAAATCCAGGGGGTTGTCTTACATAAATCTCCTTATCTAACCATCCATTTAGGAAGATAGACTTGACATCCAACTGCCACAGGGGCAAAAACCAATCTTACTGTCTCCAACCGTGCCACAGGGGCAAAAACCTTCAAAATAGTCTATTCCCTTCTTTTGCATGAATCCCTTGGCTACTAGTCTAGCCTTGTGTCTAGATATTGACCCATCTGGTTTCATCTTTACCTTGAACACCCACTTAATAGATATTGGAGTTTTGTGTGATGACAGATCTACCAATTCCCAAGTCAAATTTTTATTAATACCCTTCAGCTTCTCTTCCATTACTTTTACCCAAACCTGATCACGAATAGCTTCATCAAAGTTAACAGGCTTTATATCAACCATAAGTGTCAATCCTTGAAGCAAATCTCCATCATTGGTAATTCCATCATCCGTGTAGATTTGATAGTTAGTAAATCTAACTGGAGTATTTCTATTTCTTACTATTCTATCACTTATCTTTTGTGTTGCAGTACTTCCAGTTTCCTTCTCCATATTACCTTCTTCTAGCTGAAACGGAAGATTAGATGCAGTGGATTTTTGCAAATCTGAAACAGGGTTGCATTCATCAAATATCACATCTATACTAAAACAAATTGCTTCAGTTCTGGGATTATAAAGTTTGTATGAACCAATAGAGTGGTAACCTATAAAGATCATAGGTTCACTCTTGTCATCAAACTTCTTCTTGCATTGTGGTGTTATATGCTTGTAGCATTTTAAACCGAAGATCCTGAAATGTTTCACAGACGACTTATTTCCACTCCACACTTCTTCTAGTACTTTCAAATCAAGTACTTTTGTTGGACACCTAGTCAAAACATAAGCTTTTGTCACTACTGCCTCTCCCCATAACTGATTTGGCAAGCTTTTCTATCTCAACATACTTCTTATCATATTCACAATGGTTCTGTTTCTCCTCTCAACAATCCCATTGTGCTGAGGGGTGTAAGGGGATGTGATCTCATGGACAATTCTATGTTCAGTGCATAACTTTGCAAATTCACTAGATACAAATTCTCTTGCACCATTTGTACGCAATATTTCACTATTTTTCCATATTGCTTCTCAGTCAACACCTTTTAAAGAAGATGAATGCTTCATTTTTGTGTTTCATCAAGAAAAGCCACCGTCTCCCACTAAACTCATCCACAAATAGAATAAAATACATATTTCCACCCAAAGAAGGCACATCAAATGGTCCACAATCATCTAAATAGACAACATCTAACAAACCTTTAGCTCTTGATATCATGTGTGAACTAAAATTATTCCTGGACTGCTTACTGATCAATCATTTATCACATATTTCATTTGGCACTGTTATTGTAGGCAAACCCGTTACCATATCATGTTTCTTAAAGAGACTCATGTCTTTAAAGTTTAAATGGCTCAATCTTAAATGCCACAACCAAGACTCATCTACTGAGGTAGATAAATACTGTGATTCCAAGGTATTCAAACTTACCTTAAAGGTTCTGTTATGAGCAAGTGGAACTTTAATTGCCAACCATTTTGATGCATCAAATACTTCCAGCAAGTTATTCACCATCTTCATAGAAAATCTTTTCTCCAAATGTTGACCCATACTTATCATATTACTCTTTATTTCTGGGACTTACAAGATGTTCCCAGTTATTTCAGTCTGAATCACTTTGTTATCTGCAAATCCTATGGTATTTTTCTTGCTACTATCAAGTTTCACGAACCACTCACGGTGCTCTGTCATGTGGTTTGAACATCCAGAATCGATGTACCAACTATCACAAGCAAGACCCCCTGAACCTACAATCATCATCAATACCACAGGTTGTTCAACAGATTCATCTTGTTCCTCTTTGACCATATATGCTTGATGGTCACTATTTTTCCCTCTGCTCTCCATCTTCCTTGGTTATGCTATGCATTAAGTGGAGATATGCCCAATACGATTATAGTTGAAGCATTTGATTTGCTTCCTGTCAATCTTTCATTTGCCTCCTCTCCAATTTTATGCCCCTTTCTGCTTTTTGGACGATTTTGCCTCTTTATCATTATTTCTTTCTTGTTCTTGATTTTGACTAAACCTCCCAGAGCCACGTCTAAAATTTCTTCCTCTTCCATGACCCCAATAACACCCTTTTGACTAATTGCTACTCTTCTTGGTTGTTTGGGCTTGCAACGCATGATAGTCGTTTGACTTATTGGTTTCCTTCTCGAGTAACCTCTGGTCATGGGCTTCTAAGCAATCATGTAATTCTTCTACCTTCAACTCATCAATCTTCTTGGACTCTTCAATTGTCACGACAATATGATCGAACTTAAAGTTCAAGGTTCTTAAGATTTTCTCTACGATTGTCTGATCTGCTATCTTCTCACCACAAATCTTAATAGAATTTGTGTGTGTCACAATTTGATTAAAGAAATCGACAATTCTTTCGTTGCTCTCCATTTGCATCAATTCATATTGACGCCTCATGGTTTGCAACCTAACCTTCAATTTCTTTGCTCATTTGCTACACTTTTCCAGTATTTGTCACGCCTTGTGTGAGGTTGCAGCTCTTGCAATCTTCTCAAAATGGACTTCATCCACACATTGATGAATCAGAAAAGTGGCTTTATAATTCTTCTTTTTGTTCTCCCAATAAAGACTCTTCTCAGCTTCCGTGACCCTCTCCCCAGGCACAGAGAACCCTTCTTCAACGACTTCCGCGACTTCTTGGTATCTCAGAAGTGTTTTCGTTTGAACATGTCAGTGATCCTAGTTCTTGTCATTAAGGCTAGGCAGATTTGATGAAAACGCACTAGGTCGCATCAAACATATGTTCTTGATACTAATTGTTGGGTTTCACATAGAGAAAAGTTTGAGAATACAAGATACGCACAAAAATGCACTAGCAACATCTCATTTTATTAAGTGGTATGTCTTGATATTTATACTGCATACCAAGTCAAACTAATATAACATAAAAAGGAACAGAACGATTAAACTCAGTTTTTAATCACATATACTATCAATGAAAATAATAATTTTTTTATATTTAAAAATATTTTTCAAAATATTTTAGTATTGATGAAAATTTCTCCTTAATTCATAAACAAAATTAAAGAGTAAATTTAATTGATTAAAGGAAATAAATATGTTCGAGCATCCGGGTATAAAAAGTAAACAAAAAGATTATTTGTTTTTTGAACTATTTTTAAAATTAATATCAATTTTTTATGATAAAAAATTTAAGTGAAAATAAGCGTGACGAGATTAAAAATAGGAGAATATTATAATATATAAATAAATAGAATTATGTTAAATAAATTTTTAGAAATTATGTATTTTATTATTTTTAATAAATATAATATTTTTTGAAAAAAACATAAAAAATTTAAAAGATAATGTTTTTTATTATACCATAACAAGAGGGACAGAAGAAATGTAAAAGTAAAAATAAAATAAAAAAATACACTTTTTATACTCAATTAAAAAAGAATTGAAAACCTTAAAAAATAATCAAATTTTTAATACACCAAAATCAAATGAAAAATATGTTTCTTTTGAACACAAAACAATGAAATTTTTGTGTTCAATTTTTTTTTATCAAGGCCTGTAAAGGGGTAAAAAATGAGGCCCAAAACCAAGAAATTGGATCTAAAAAGCCGACGGACACCGAAAAATCTATGTGCATGACACTACGATTGAATAATTTATTTTCATAATTGTTTCTTAATTTTAGAAGCATGTTATGTTTAAATTTATACTTAATTCACTACAATTATTAATATTAATTAGAATATTCATTTTTTCCTATAATTTATTTTATTTATGTGTTATTTTAATCATAAAAAATCCAAAATCTCTTTTAAGGCAGTCATTTGACACAATTTTGTTACAGCCACCCAATAATCTAACTTTCCCTTTTAAAAAACAAATAAATAAATAAATAACAGAGTCTTATTTTTTTAAAATGACACCTCTAAAAAAAAGAGCTTTCGCTTTAGTACATGTGATATTTATATAATAATTTATTCGTTTCATTATTTATTAATTTTGTAAAATTTTGTTACATCTGTGTTGTCACTTTATTTTTTTAAAAATAAATTAATATTACTTCTTTAATTAACATCATTAAGTTATATAAAGATATAATGGAGTGATAATATAGTCTAAAACAACATCAATTCACTTTAAAAAAACAATAGAACAAATTAACAGGGCAAATAATAATAACAAGATATTATATTTTTAAAGAAAAGGGTAGAAGATAATAAAACAAGTTCTTAAATCTTAAATAAATAAAATAACCTAATAATTAATTTAGAGGAAAAAGGTTAAGCCGTAATAATTATTTCTAACAAAACAACAAACAATAATATGTACACGTGAAGCCAGAATTTTATGTATTAAAAAAATGTTGTTATAAGGTTTGTTTGGTAGGTATTATTATAAGATGTTTTGTGTGTGGGCAAGTTGACATATAAGATAGAAAATAGGTGAATTGGTGGTGCAACACATTGAATATTGAAAGATGCATTGCATTGGTCTGTGGAGAGAGACCCGTGATTGATTCTTCTTATTTCTTAACCTAAGAAACAAATTGTAGCATATTTAGGAGACAAATATTACTCCTCAAATAAAATCATAAGTAGACATCAAAACCGTTTTTTTTTTTTATTTGTTGCTGATTAATTTTCCGTGAAGCACTGACAGTTCTAATTCAATTATGAAAAAAAATACTTATAAAAACATATTTTTAAATAATAAAAATAATTTTTTAATCAATTCCATAAATAATATATTTAAAAAAATTATTTAAATAGAAACTATAAAAATTTATTTACCTAGATTTCATGCAAAACTTAATAATTACAAATAAATTCATCTAATATAATATAATTATTTTTTTCTTTGTTCATATCTAGTTTTTTTCTCTTTCTTATCCATTTTCTCTCATTTTATCTTAATCATCTAATTAAAAATATTTTATTAAAATTTGATAAAATAAGTCTTTTATTTTTTTTAATATTTAATTTATTTAAAAATATTATAATTAAATATATTATATTTTAAAAAATATTATATGATAAATTTTAGGAATTATAAATATTAGTTTTATGTTATAATTATTAAAAAAATTATTTTTAAATAAATTTTATTTTTAAAAATTATCTAGTCTCATTAATTATCATAACTCAATCTAATTATAACTAGATTGAATTACTAAATAAAAAATATATTTAAATCATAAATATATTTATGATAAAATAATTTTAAATTAATTATTTACATCATCATAATTATTTTTATAATAAATAAAATTATGTATTACTATCATAATTTTAAATAATTAATTGATATTAAAAAAATAGTTTAATATATTTTTATTAAATTTTAATATAATAGTTTTAATTAGAAAAACTAGATGAGGAGAAAAAAAAGAAATTTAAGATTAAAAAAGAAAAAGAAAAGTAATGAATGCAGACAAAAGAAAAAAAAAGAAAAATTACATATGTAATTAGATAAATAAATTAATATAAAATTTATTTAAATAATTTTAAAAATATATTATTTATAAAATTCATTTATCAAATTTTATATATTATATTAAATAATATATTTGACTTTTTTTTTCTTATCAAACATTGTAGGTTATACATGTACACAACAATTTTGTACTATCCTTCAATTAAGTATTAAATGAGAGAGATTTTTCTTCACAAACTTTATTGTAATTTGTATTAGATAATTAAAGAGAAATAATATTTGTTTTTAATATATATTATCTATACATAATTAATTCCTAATTATCTTGCTACAAATGAGAATAATCTATATTTTTATATTTCAGATTATAAAATTCTAAATTTAACGCTTCAACCAATAAAAAATAATTTCAAGATCGTTATTATAAAATTAATATATGTTAATTTACAATTTGATGACAACATTAGGTTTTTAATAATAAAGTTGTTCAAAGTTAAGGAATATTGTTTACTAACTTCGCTTTTGAAACCTTCTGTGGAATTGTTCATACAACCACTATTATATAAGAAAACTCTTGCTTAAAAGTTTTGATATGACGGAAAGGAGAACGAAGATAACATTGGAAGTACTAATACATAGGTTAATAAAAAATCATTAAATTAAATTAAATACTTACATTAAGAATTTAAGCAAGAAATGATTTTGATGTATATGATAGAAATTCAAATATAAATTAAAATTTTCCATTAAGAAAAAAAAGTTGATAAATATAAAAACAATTCAAAAATCTAATAATTTTAAATTTTAAATTAAATATAATGTACTTATATGATCTTGTTTATAAATAAATTTTTCCATAAATAAAATTTAGGAAATAAAATGATAAATGTATCAGCAATATTTTAAAATCAAATAATATATTATTAATAAATAATAAATTAATATAAAAAATTATAAAAAATAAAAAATTTAAATTATAAATATATAGATTGATATATTTAATGATTATTAAGTTTCATATTTAAATTTATAAATATAAATATAAATTATAAATGTCTGTTATCAATGTTCCCTCGCCTGCAAAATAGAACTTGTAATATTGAATCGTGGTTAAACCTTAATACTTGTAATAAATAAAGTTGTTAAGTATGTTAAGAGAACTCTAAACTAGACTTAATGGTAGGGGTTTAAGGTCCTAATTCAAATGCTGTCAAAGAAAAAGGTCCTATACACTGAGAAGATAATGAATCACGGTGGTAAAATATATAGTATCTTTATCAATGACCAGGATAATGGGTGTAGGGTCCATGTTCACGTGTTACCAAAGTGTATCAGGAGGCAGAGAACCAAATTGCATTATGTGACAGACACAAATGTGAATACTAAAATATCAGCAAATATACTTTGTGTTACCACTTTTTCACTTCACACTGTTTTCTGCATCAGACAAAATCCTCACATAAGCTTTTGCTATTCCTTCTACCAACACACACATACCAAAACATTTGTGTGATTTTCTTCAATTATTTCAGAAGGTGCAACAACTTGTTGCATACATGGAACAATAGGACAATTTATGAAATATACATAGGGGTATTAGCTAGCTAGCTCCTGTGCCTCCACGTTTACAATAATACCAAAAGTTTGTCATAAATGGGGGCATGTACATGGGATCTGTCATAAAATAGCCAAAACTAAAACATGATCACTATCACTGTAGACTCACGGCAGAAAAAATATTCAATAATAAACAAATCATTATAAAAAGAATAAAAATGAGAGATGAGAAACAAGTTAACAAGAGTGAGGTATGAGTTATGTTGCAAAGTTGTAGCTGAGACTTGTTCATAATTTAATTGAGTGAGTTGGGAATGATGCACCCTTGTGCCGCATATAAAAAACTATACCACCTATTTGGGTTAGAATATTAATCAATATCATAAAACTAGGCCACAAACATTTGATAATAAGATATATGTTCATGTGAAAAAGCATTTTCTCTTTTGTCATAAAGGGTGCATTATATCCAAAAGCACAAATTTTTTATCTGTTTTCCTTCAATGCAGAAGTAGCTATGCCGAAGCCTTGTGACTTGCAAATCAACATTGATGGTCGGCAGATATTTCTTTTGAAAGAGGTATTGTCGGTGTTCTTCACTGACTCTTTCTAGTTTGATATTTCAAAGAAAAGTTATGAACATTGGTTGTGTAAGGTGAGGTGACTCTAGTTTATTTATTTTGCAGAAGGTTATATCAAAATACTGTGGAGGGTTTAAAAAAATCTTGAATCACCAGAAGAAAAGATGTCATGTGAAGGAGTTGGGGATTAGAATTAACGATTTCCCAGGAGGACCAGAAGGGTTTGAGCTAGTTTCAATGTTCTGTTACAATAATGGAAAAATCCAAATCACTGAAGCTAATGTGTGTCTCCTCTACTGTTGTGCGGTTTATCTTGGAATGACCGAGGAGGTACTCAGCAACAATCTATTGCAACAAACAGAAACTTTTCTTCAGGGAATCTTCTACTGGAAATGGAGTGATATACTCGTGAGTCTCAAGAGTTGCCAGCTGTTTTATAAGTACGCAGATGGCTATGGTCTCTTGGAGAAGATCATTTGTGTCTTAGCCAAGTTTGTCCAGAATTCAGATTCAAACCTCCTCACTTCCTCTCCTTCAGCATCATCATCTTCTTCACCAGAAAACAATTCTGCCCAGAGATTATCTTTTTCATCCAAGAAAACTACCCCAGAGAAAATCAAGTCAAATTTGTCAGGCAAGGCACGGTGGTTTGGAGATTTGGCAACTTTACCAACAAATATCATTGAGAAACTTATCCAGGCTATTGGGGCATACAAAGCTGATAACAAAGATTTAGTCCTCACAAGATTTCTGTTGCATTATCTGAAAATAGCCACTCAAACAAAAGTGATTAACTGCAGAAACAGCAATGAGTACGCTGCTCTCGCAGAAACTGCTACTTACGGGGTCATATCTGTTGGAAAGAGGACCTTTTCTTGCAGAGGCCTTTTTTGGGTTCTAAGGATTGTATCCAAGTGTGGGTTGAGGAAAGATGTTAGAACTGAATTGGAGAAGCTGATTGGTGGAGTGCTTGAGCAAGCTACACTGGATGATCTTCTAGTTTCTGGGCATGACATGGGAGTTTATTATGACGTTAATTTGGTGATAAGATTGGTTAGACTATTTGTTGATATCAATGGTTCTGATGATGGACTGTCTTTACAGAAACTGAGAAGAGTTGGTAGATTAATTGACAAGTATCTGCGAGAGATATCCCCTGACCAGAACCTCAAGATCTCTAAATTTCTTGGAGTAGCAGAATGCTTGCCAGATTCAGCAAGAGATTGTTATGATGGAGTCTACAAAGCCATTGACATCTATCTTGAGGTGAATAACACATACACTTTTTCTCTTCCTTTTCAAATGCATCATCTTCCAAAATAATCCTAGGAAATGAAAAAGATGAAATGGATGATAATAGGACTTGTTTGCTTAAGTAAACATTTTTTGGTTTTTATTTTTAATTTATATAACTAATTACAAAAATAGTACAGTACCTTACTCATTTTATTTTCTGACACCAAAATTTGAGTAAAAACAATGAAGATAACTGTTTATTTTATTCTGATTTTTGTTTCACCATTCTTTCTTTTCTCCTTCCTTTTAATTAGTTTTATGTACATCTTTTTTAATTTATTCTATAAACATATGCATATATATGACTGTATTATTATGTGCCCTACGCAATCAACCAAAAAGAGAAAGAAAGAAAGGACAAAGTAAGGGGCCTGAATACATACAATCTTTATTATATAATAAAATTTTAAACATTGCCCTAGATTCATAAGCTACTATATTGGATACTCTAGTGTCAAAATTTCATGCTAAAAATATTTTAATCCGTATTTTGGCTCTTTCCTATTTATTTTGTGGTCTTCTGTTGTAGTTTGTGTTTACCGTTACATAGCACGGGAATGATAAAAATCTGATAAAGTCAAGACATGTGATCTGGTTTGAAAATTCTTACACACTCAGCACACATTTCTAACAATAAATCCCCAATCTCAGAAGTATTTTAGATTGAAAAATTACTGTAAATAAATATAATTTTAATTTATACATCCTCAACATAAAGAATTTTTATATTGTCTACAAATGAAAAATCATGATAAATATAATTAAGTTATTATAAAAATAAGTGAAGTTATTATATGCACTAATTTCTTTACTCTGTTAATAATAGAGTCTTTATCACTTAAACATTATTCATAAGTTTCACCCATCTCAATATTCTGAATTGCTCCTAACTGATCTTGACAGCATTTATCTGTTATAATAGATGCAAGTAAAATTCTGTTGTTTCTTTTGTAGCACTGTATTTTATTACTTCTATATGTAGTGTTATATAAAATATTGTTTCCTAAACCAATAGTGATTTGCAGTCTCACCCAAGCATCACATTTGAGGAAAGATCGAGGCTGTGTAGATGTCTTAATTACACCAAACTCAGCTTTGAAGCAAGCAAAGATCTGGCCAAGAACCCCCGGATACCTCCAAGGGTTGCAATGCAGGCTCTTATTTGTCAACAATCAAAAGTTCCAACAATTGACTATGTAACTGAGAGTCCAAGAATGAAGCCTTCTCAAATAGTTTTGTACAATGGAAATACCAGAAGCAGCTTCTCCCAAGAGAAGAAAGATACGGAAATAAACATAGAGAAAATGCAATGGGAAGTAATAGAATTGGCCAAATTACACAAGGAAGTCAACGTGTCAAAGTTGCTCTTGCTTAATCATGCTCGGGCATCATCCTCACCAAAATTTTGTTGAATATCTTCGTCTTGTGTAATGTGGACATTATCCAATATATTATGGTATTTCTGGAATAATGGTATTTTTGGAATTGTAAAAAGTTATAATTGTATCCTGTATTTGCTTTAGAATTTTTACATGATAGATGAAATCAAGTAGTAGAGATTTCTTTATCATGCCAACATTTGAAGTTGCAGACATCAACATTATTGGATAGTATTCTGCGAACAAGATAAACAATGTTATTGTGTATTAAGTGCTAGGTAGTAAATTTTTTATTGTTTCGGGTTCTACAGTGATTTTCCAACTGACTAAAGATATATAGTAAGCTTAGGACATTTTCTAAATAATAAGAGTGAAAAATTAATGAAAGGGAGCAGGAAGTGATGTTAACATAGTTCTATATGATAATATGCTTCAGAACAACAGCTTTTTAATATTTTGTTCAATCAGTCAATTCTTGATCTGATAGCCCACACTACCACTTTGTTTGTAGGGAGAGGTAATTCACCTAACAGGAAAAAGGAAAGGAAAAAAGATACATAGAGAAGTGGAGGAGAGATCAGTCATGATTGGTACTGTCTGATTAAAAAGAAAATGTTTCCTAATTTCCTTTGGTTTCATAATGAGAAAGAATGATAATGCAAGTAGAATGATTGAAATGTACATAAATATTTAGTAAATGGAGGCCACGAAATTGCACCATTCCTTCCAAAATGGCGTAAAAAATGGTGGGGCTCATGGAAATTCTATCACTGCATTCCTTTCCTTTATTTTACAATGTGCTAAAATGGATGAACTTCAGCCTTCCAATTCAACCTTTTTCCTTTTCTTTACGTCCTAAAAGCAAATAACAAAACAAAGCCTAGAATAACAGGTACGTAAAAAGATTAGCAACAATCCAATCATCACTCGAAAAAGTAAAGATAAATTTTTTTTTAGGAGTTGACAAAATAACAATAGAAAGACATTTTCCTAAATAAAGAATGTAATATTTGCATCCAAAACTACTCATGATATGAACTACGAAACACCAGAATTTTACAGGCACTACACATACAAAGAATGTAAGCAACCTCATAAGCAGGAATAGGATCTGGAAGGCAAATAAAATTCAACTATCAAGCATAAGTGGTACACGTTTTCTTAAGCAGGTTGGCAACATCAGATCCTTCTTATGATTCTTGCCACATTTTAGATGGGTTCAAGTGATCCAGAAGCATGAATCAGTCATCATCAGCAGAAAGCCAGTGAAGCTTCCAGTAGCTTTATTTGGCTTGATTGAACTTCGCCCAATAATTACATTTGAAACTCTCTTTAGGCGAGGAATGCATGATCGGATATCTTCGGTCAACGGTGTTATTTCATTGTATAGAATTAAAGAAATGCCCATTCTTTCTGGAACAGCTAATTGGAATGGAATTCCTCTTTTGTTTCTCATGTGGCATATAACTAAACCACTGATGAACTTGATAATAACTTGATTTGGATCCTATCTGCGCCATTGATTCCAGTCAAGAAGTCACACACATATTCTTTTCACTATTTTCTTATAGTGAATCTGTATTACATCAATTAATAAAAAATTTGAAAGCAAATAAGAGGACTACTAAAGTAATAATGGTATCGATGAACTTAGAAACTTCAGAAAAGACATGACACAGTAGTTTAGTTACCCGCCACTGCAAGAAAGATAATGGATCACACAGACGTCTCGTTGCGAGACGTACTTCATTATTCGACAAAGACACCGGCCTACAAACTCAACAAATAAAAAACTAAGTTCAACAAAAAATCAAAGTTTAATTAATAACGCTAGAATTGTCCAAAAACAATGATCCAGACATCATGTTCTTACATCTTTCACTACAATCTTGTCTGAAAAATTCAATCTTGGCAACAACCATTCCAGCAAATAGATTGAGGAGTTTTGATAATTGGTTGTAACATCTGAAAGGCAAGTATATGCTGATATCATGGCTGATGACAAAAGCAATTCTCAATTGTAATAGGTGGGAAAGGAATCCAAACCTGAAGAACGTACGAGTATTCTGTGTGTAACAAAGGACTGTGACAGTTGAAGGAGCAGTAGCAAATTAGAAATCTTAATACTGAATTAAAAAAATACGAATGTACATTAGAAATTACAACAAAAAAACAACATTAGATTTTGACCCCTTTCTTCAAAATAAAAAGCATTAGAAAAGCCATGACAGGCATCCGTTGAGTAAACTTAAATAACGTTTGTAATTGAATAGTTGTTAGAACGATTGGTTTTCTGTTAACAATGAGGTTGTTCTGTGAGGCAGTTATGCTTGTATTAATTGTAGACAGCTAACAGAATTTTAAGACAGATTCATGTCTTTAAATACCAGTTGTATATTTTTGACATTTGAATAAGAAATAAAATTTTCAGAAACTGAGTTATCAATATCTACTTTTTGATTCATGCTCAATATATCAGAAAAGATTCTTTCTGTAAACAACAGTTATTTCATCTCCAAATAGTTAAATATAAAGTACCAGAGAAGGTTATTTGAAGCAGCGCTTGAAATTTAATAACTGAACAACAGCTTTTACATTTAATGAATGTCATATTGTCATACATAATTAATTTATGATCAGAAACAGAAACAAGTGATATTGTCTCACATCCAGGTCCTATTAGAACATATATAAAACCTTATCTAGAGAACAAATAAAGATAATTGTGGGTGGTTATCTATCATAAACTTTTGCTCTGCAAATGTTTATAAATATCTTCCTTTTACATAAGAGGTTTGCCAGATATGAGGCGTCAATTATTTATATAATTGTTAAAACAAAATTCTTGGATAATTGCTCTCACTTTCTCCTTCTTTCCCATCTATATCTAACCTACTTCTATTATTGCCTAGTGTCCTTCCCCTTCTATCATTTTTAATTAATATTTCAGATATCATACCATTTTAAGGCTTTAACCTGTAAAACATAAGATCTCGGGAGATTCGGTCAAGGGACACAAATGACAAATGTAACTATGATTTACTCGTAAAAAACTTCTACCTGCCAGACGGAAGGCATGTATTCACGATACTGAAAATTTTGATGGTTTCTTGTCACGTTTTTTGAACATCTTTCTTCCATGTTCCTATTATAGGTATCATCATACTTAAAATCAAGAAGTACAACTGAGAGTAGAACAGATAATACAGCATTATGTTTTATTAGTGGCCGATCAATGAATAGCAAGACAATGATAAAAAATAGTAAGACAATGCAGATGCAAAGGACCTGAAAAATAACAAGTTAACTATGAAGGCCAATTGGGTTTCACTAAATTATCTTGGCTTTATAATGTGTTGAAAAATATCAGAGAGAAAATAAGGGCACAGAGGTGTTACTTTTTTAGAGAGAGAAATTATAAGAGAAAAGGACACTGTAAAAAGAAAGGAAACTTCTATGGCCACAAAGCCATACCAACATTCATATTAGAGGATAAAGTATATGTCAGTGTTGCTCTCAATCAATTACCCCTTGACCAGCCTCCTAATTAACAGCAACCAATCAATTACAATGACTCTCGTATTAATAACCCTTGAAATGGATCAATTCCTCCTTAACACACAAGTCAACTACATAATTTTTCATGCTTTCTTTAGACACATTGCAAGGTGTTATCAAAATCAACCTTTAACTAAATCAAAAGATATCTTTCTGATCATACAAGATTTCATGTGAAGTTCAAGAGTTCTTAGATTCTCTGTCGCTGGAGATTGAAAGGAACAAGTTTTAAATTCCACATCCATTATGGAACTCACCCTTTGACATCATTTGAAGCTTTAGAATATATATTCCCAAAAATCACTGACTTTGTAGCCATAATAAGCATAGGGTGCACCTGAAGAAGTTTTCTAATATTCTGTACTACAGCTTCTGATACAGTCTGAAGGAAAAGTTTTTTTCTGCATCACAAAATAACAGCAAATTAAAATCAACATGTATCTGAACCATTTAAACGCATACGTTCCACTATTAACAGAACCTCATACCAATATTTTCCTTTCTCCTTGTCAATTAGTTTTCACACTTTAAGAAAGCTCGACAATTTGATAATTTGAGATTGAGAATTCGGAATATAAATTGATCCTCTAAGAACTTTAAAACATGAGGCTAAAACACACCCACCATCCACTGGGAACTACCAACATATATATAACTTACTTGTTGTTTTCTCTTTGAGATAAGAACATTGATGCACGATCCATCCAATGAAAAGCTCCAATGCTGCCAAATACAGTTCACTCAGTCCAAGTTTACTTATTACATTAGATAAAGTCTTCACATAATTTATTCAGAGCCAATGCCACCATAGTTAACGATGCAAAAGCATTGAAAATAACAATTGGAACCTATGAAATAGTTGCATCATTCACCACGATAATACAATTTATCCCTAGCTTTTCAAGGGGAAAGTTAGATACATGTCATTCCTATATATCAATGGAAACCATGGAATAGGAAACACTTTATGTTTTGCAGTAAGATGATACAACTCATCTAATGATAATATAAAGATCACAACTAGACCTTTTTTACTTATAGATAAACGCTCGGCAAATTAGAATGCCACCAAAAAATAAGAGCTGCTTTATTTTACAATTCAAGAAAAAGCAAGAAGAAACCAGCCTGTCAATCATGAGCAGGTGAACACCAACTCCGTGAACTTCTTTCTCCTTCTCTAAGCGACAATGCAATGTCTGTTGCAGAATAAAAGGACAAGATACATTAACAGGAGCAAAAATAAACAGTGAGGAAGCAGTATACAAAGATCCTAGTTACATTAGAATGGTTAAATTACTCATTTGATTGATATACCTCCACATTCTTTCCAATGTAATCTAGAGTTGTCAAAACGGACGGTGTAGTCCAATCTTACGAAACAAGTACAAAATTTGATAGTATAACCTAACCTATGTTTTAAAAAAGACAAAAATTTATAACCCTTTGTTAGGCTAATGGACTAACTTGCCAATTTTGACCTGATTGAATTTTTATAAAAATAATATTGACATATCTATATAAAATCAATTAATTAAAAATATATTTAAATTAAAAAAATATTTTAAAATTTAAATTTTATTAATGAAATTAATTTTTGTTTAAGATATAATGATTTAATATATAAATTATAAGAGAGTGTATTCATTTAATCTCCAAATAAGAATTAAAAACTTAATCTTTATTATCATTATTTATTTTTAGTAATTTATTAATTTAAAATAATAATTAAATCTTGAGATAAGTGATTGATAAAGATTCAGTCAGATATTTATTCTGAGATTAAGTAAATCTCTATCAAATTAATTTTATAATATATGTATACTAAAATAACTTTATGTTTTTATTTAAAAAATTATTATTATTCTATAAGATGAGCTAATCTTTCAGTCTTCAGACTAGCCTATCCTAAGGTCATACAAGTCATGACCTAACTAGGTCATCAGCCTATGGACTAGCATGTCCTAGTCATACAAGTCATGATCTAACTAAGTTGGACCAAAATAGGTCGAACTCAATTTACGCCACAATTTTTTTTTCTCCTAGTCTGACCTATTTTGTGGGCCTTTCAAACCATTTTTTGGGCCTTTCGAACCGTACCATTGAACTAAATCTATTTTAACACTCTGAACTTTACCTACACATAGAAGTGAACAAGAGATGGGTTGAGTCTATTATTATCATCCTAACTTTATCATATCATCTACAAGAATGCAAACAAAACTCAATCAATATTCGACATAAATTGAATAAACCGGGTCAACCCATTTTTTGCAACGTAATATATAAATTGTATACGTATGTGTAACTAAGTCAAGAATAAAATAAGTATAAAACTTAAATTATTGTGTACTTTATAATGAATAAATAAATAAATTCTTTATATAGAATATCTTGTTATAAAAAATATTGTTAATTAAATAAAAATAATTATTACTAATATATAATTGTTCAAAAAACTTATATTTTCTAAGAGAACATTAACGTTAAACCGGGCTCAGACAACCAATCACACAACCTAAACCGTCTTAAAAAAAATATATTGCATCTATTTTCAAAATCCGAACCGATCCAAATCATCCTCTGCGCTGGGTTATGCTTACCCCTACCTAAGTACTCCTTTTAACTAGATTTAGTCATGTAATTTAGAATCAGTCTTAGTTCTACAATTTTGGACTAAAAAGTGTATCACCAACTAAACCTATTAGGATAATGCAAAAACACATTTATGATTTGTATCACAAATACATAAATAAATAAAAATGGTTTACCCTGAGAGTGTGAAGAAACTCAAAGCTATCGTAACAACGGACATACAGAAAACGGGCCATGCAGAGATCGTACAAGGTTCGATCATAAGAATCCGTTCCGTGTCGCGTGATGCGATGAATGAGCGATCGGGAGAAGCGCGTGATGTCGAAGCGGCAATCAAGGTCGAGAAAGAGGACCAAGTGGTCGAGACCGCCGTAGGGTTTGGGGAGAACGGAAGTGATGGCGGCGTGAATGAGAATGTGGGTTTTGGCGGAAGGAGAGGGGCCCACGAGCTCCAGAACGTTGCCGACGCGGAGAGGAACCCTGTGCAGCGGCGGAGGAAACACGAACGGCCGCACGCTGCTGACTCTGCTGAGCATCTCCGCCGCACTCTCGTCTCCCTCGATCCACTTTTCAATTTCCTCTCTCTCTTTCTCTTTCTCGTTCATTTCTCTTCTCACTTTTCAAATCTCAATTCACCTTTTCATTCTCACCATTTCCCACTCTTCCCGCCTAATAAACCCTGCACACAACAATAGGAACTTTGCTCTCTCTTTTTCTTTTTCTTATATTATAAGAAAGTGATCATACATAACAAATAAATTGTAAAAAGATCATGATCTACAATTTAAAAAGAGATTAATTTATATTACTTTAAAAGTTATTCAAATTCTACCTATTATTTTTAAAAATTATTCACATTCTATATATTATTTTCAAAACGAAAAAGTATTTTTTTTCTCTTATGTATTTTTTAATTTTTTTTACTATTCTTTGCTTTTTATCACGTTTGTTGTTAAATATTATTATAAAATCATTGTAATAAAATAATTTACAATCCATAAGAAATAATTTTTTATAATCGTTTTTTTAATATATATGTCATATTTATTTCTTTTAATTACATCTTGTTCTTAATTTTTCTTTCAAATATAAAATAATAAAAAAATATAATTTTTCCCTATTTTTTGAATTATAATTTCCCTCTTTTCTTCCAACCCTGTTTTAAAGTTTATTTATTTTTAATAATTCACAATTTCATAAATAAATATTTATATTTAAAATTAATATATATTAAATTTTAATAAATTAAAATTAAAATTAAAAAAATAATAAAAATGCCGCTACGCTAACATGTCTAAAGATTCAGCAGAAGAAGTGTCAAACAAATTCAAATGATCTAATCTAATTAATCACTTGAAACATTTGTACAATTTTAATTTTGTTAGATCACGGAAAAAAAAAGTCTAAGAAATAGTTCTATTCAATTTATTTCATAATTTTTTCGACTTAATCTATTTTACATGTTTTTCGTGACGAAACATGTTGTGACGAAACCATAGACCGGTTTAAACATGAGGAGACGTGGCTAACGACGTATGACATGTTTTTTTCCCGTGCGGTGTTAGGAATGCGTAAGCAACCACGAGGTTTGCACATGGCAACCTGTGGTTGGTTTTGCTTACAACCAAAACGTGAGGTTCTTGTTCTCTTAATTCTACAACGACCTTTAATATCCATATTTAGCGGTCCCTCCCACTTCTTCTTAGTTTATCTCTTTCACACTCTCACGTCATTAATATTTTTAAGCTTGGTTAACATTGGACCCATTAACCCAAAAAAAAAAATGTTTTTATAAAACATCAACCGAAGGGGTGATTGTTCCAATCCGTTTCTGCTTTCTGTCTTCCACGAACACTACCAGGTTTGCTCTCTACATGTTCTTAAAAAGTTCAATAAATTTAGCGATGATTTACCACATGTGTGTATGGTTTTGTTTTATGTTTTACACGTAGCAGGTTATTAGCCAATTGCTCTTTCTGCATGATTTTGATTATAAGGAGTATTTACTTTAGTTTGTACTAGAGATTTTATAATCTTCCATTGGAAATTTAGTGTTGGCATCTGAAAAGAAAGGACCAAAACAGCACAACTTTCTATACCGAGCTTGCATTTTCTATTCATTTCTCTAATGTTGTCTTGGATTTAAAGTAGAAGGAGGGAAAAGCATAAGATTATCTCTTTGATGTACACTTTGCATGGACTTAGGATGTATATTAGTTAACTGAATTCCTGCTTCCAAGCTGATCATAGTAAAAATTGTCTCAAACTATTATTATCCCTGGCTTTTTGTTTCGATAATTGTCAATTGGTCTTACAAATTTTGTGTCTGCTTCATGATTTTTCTCACCCACTTTTAAATACCTATTTTGTCATTTATCCACACAAAAAGAAGAAAAATAAGTCTGTGGGTTGAGATTTGAGAACAAGTATGTCTTTTTTTTTTTTTTTTTGTGGTTGCTGACAGTGCTTCCCACTTTCCTTGTATTTTGAATAACAGTGATTGCAGAACACGATGAATATTATGTCTACCAACCAGTGTAGTTGGCCCCTTAGAATTCAGGATCGTTCTGACAAAGGAAGTATGAATAAGGCTCCATTTTCTAGAGGATTGGACTTCCTTAATCTTGGATACCAGGTTCGAAAGCATGGCCATAGTGCCAGAAAATTCAGGCCCATTTTTTCAAGTTCAGGGAGCAACAGTATGGATCCTTCTGATTCAGATGACATTGATAAGAACAAACCCAATGGTGAAATGGGAGAAGTATGTTCACTTTTCAGTTTCCTATTATACATGTAATTCATTGAAAAATATTTCACCATTTTAATGCTTTAATATTATTGAGGGTGCATCTTGGCACCTTATGCATTTGCTTCTCCTTTACTTCTATTCCCTTGATTCCGTTCGGTTGCTCTAAAGTCTAATGAACTGGCTGGATATGAAATCCTTGTTTAAATGTATTACAATATTTTAGAAATACCCATTTTCTATCCTTTAAATTGTCAACCTCTCTGACTAAGTTCTTATATACCCCACCTTCTCTTCCTTTTTGTAGTTTCCTTTATGTAATATAGTTGTATATTTAAGCAAAATCTCTCTCCTATCCTAGATAGTATGTTTTGATTAATTTACATTTATGTAGAAGTTGTTTTCCAATTGGATAAAATCCAGTCCCAATTCTAAGAATAATATATAAAGTATTTACTTTCCATTGCTGTGCTTACATCTGAGTCTGGCTTCTTTTGAAATATGCATCAGGTGAATGATATGCTTAGGGAGAGTCTCGAAAAAATAGTTGGAAAAGATGACTCCACCTTCAGTGGATTTGACCTTGCTACTCTTATTAGGAACAAATATGGGAGATCCTATGATGTTCAGTTAATAAAGAAGGTAAGTTTTTAAACAAGTGGAATTATATGTAAGATTTACTTGTCCTGATTTCTACATGACATATTCAACCCCATATAATATCTTACTTTTTTCTTCCAAAGTATAACTATTGTGAAATGAAGTGATTTATCCTGCACATAGTTGGAAATTGTACATTGTTGTTTCTTCTTGCATATGCGAACAAAAAAAAAATCCATTATTCAGCTGACATATCTTATTGTCAACTCTATCCAGATTGCATTGTTGGTCAGGCTCCCACCTTCCTTTAGGGTGGGATAAAGGAAATTATATTAAAATAGGAGTGTTAAAAGAGTTGGATATGTTTAGCTGTCATTTATGGACCAATTTCAAAAGTTTCTGATAGATTAGGAATATATGGATAGTTTCCATCAGTTTCCACCAAACAATTAAGAAAAATAGAAAATAGACCATTGATTTTTTCTCATATGAGCTCATTCCAAGGCGCCAAGAGCTTTCTTATTCCCTCTTGTCGGGGACTACTACTGGGAAACCAAATGAAAGAAGCGAAAACTTTTTATGTTGTTGGCTGAGTGGGCTACCAAAGGAGATCAGAAGACGAAGAAGAAACCACAGTCTAGATTGATAAATCAAGAAAGATTTGTTACATCAAATTAGAAATTTAAATATAAGCATCAAAAGTTTTTCTCAAGAACATAGAGAGAATTTCTCTCAAAAAAGCACAAACCTTTATTTCAAGTTGAGAGAAATCTAAGTGCAGAAGTTAAAAAATATATTTATACTATGACTTCTAGACTCATTAATTAGACTCACCCAATAAATAATTAATTTGTCTAATAAAAACTAATGTCTAAAAGGAGTTTCTGAACATGAAAATAAATTCATATTCTAGCCTCAAGCCTCTTTCTTGGTCCTTTATCATGTCTCTATCCTTGCATTCATCAGTTTCTAGCATCCTTGTTCTTGAGTGATGTATTAACTGGAAACTTCCTATGCGTATATGATGTTTGTTCCCTGTTTTCACATTTTACTTACAAAGTACTTAGAGCATCATATCATCATATTAAGACATGGTTTGATCTTATACTGTTAAACACAATCTGTGCTAGGAATTCATGGGAAGAAATCTCCTTGCGATGAATGTCATGTGGAAGTACATGGAGCAGGTATTAAAAATTATGTGCTACATTTTGTCTTGTGTTTTCTTTGTATAACATGACTTGATAGATTCCTTTCAAATGAAATGTACAATTTATTGGATATTAAGAAGAAAGAAAAAGGAATATACTAGAAAATTCTTCCTACTAGAATTGTTGTCATAATGAGTTGATATTTTTATTGACTCTGTTGCATAAATAAATGGCCCCTACACTTTTAATTTACCCAACAGCAACACTTACAAATTCTGAGGGAATTGTGTCAAGCTGGCGATGTTGAATTAGTCAAATGAAAACAGCTTATGCCTTCAATCAGTTTAGAAAGGGGGAACGGAAGAAAAAGCAAAAGGCAAAGGTTTCTGCCATTTCAATTTCATAGATTGCATTGGTATAAAGTAATTTGTGTACCTGAAGCCTGCATTTGGTTGTGCTCTAAAGTAATGGTTATTAATAGCTTTTTGTACCACTATGGAACTGCTTGTATACATTGAAGTTATGCATGTAATAATGTATTTCAGTTTGTCCAATATCCTTTTCCTATCAGAGATCCTTCCCATTGACTGAAGAAGAGTACATTTTGAGGCTTGATGATGTTGCAAACACCTTAAAATGTTGGGGAGCTGTCTCACATATTCGGAACAGCCTACAAAAGTCGAAGGAACGACCTCGAATAGGGAAGGTAAAATTATGCTCTTCAGTCTTTTATATGATTATCTAGGTGCTGCATACTGAAAGGGTGATATATATCTTTCTTAGAAAAGACAGAAGACATAAATAAGAACAATAAAACAATGAGTGCTTAATGCAAAGCAGCTTATGCAAATTAATTGATGAACATAAGAAGTGTAATTTTGAATGGAGATTTTGATTTTTATGCTGACAATAATCCTACACATAAGTTGTGCTGCCAAGATAAAAACAAAATAAAAAACAAGAAAAAAACTGGTTTGTGCACATTCTAACATCTTGTTATTGCTGCAGGCAGTAAGCATTTTTATAGATATGGATGAGTCCGGTGCTCGTGCCAACGAGTGGATATACAAATAGAATGGAAAGCATTGCTGAATTGAAATCTTAGGCTAGTCACTGGATTTACAGCGAGGGAAAAGTTCATAGCCGCAGGACTACCACTTCTTTTGAATTTCGTTTGTTTGGAATTAATTTATACTTGGATGTCAACAACATCTACAGATGCATTTTCCAACGTTTCTGATGGCAACTTGGCACCAGGCCTAGGCCACTATAATTTTGGTTCTTCCCTTCTTTTTTCTATTGTTCACATTGATGTAGAATTAGCTAATATAAGAAAAAGCATTCATATTAAATTTCTGACAAACTTGTCTCTAATTTAGAGAATATATTAATATTAATAGTTGTATTTGTTTTGCATGTCATTCCTTGAGATAACTACTTGAAACATGAGAGATACGCTTTTCAATGCATTCGGGTAGAGAATACGCTTTTCAATGCTACTTTTATCAAAGTAGAATTTTCTTCAACGCCAAAAGTAAGTTTTCAGCGGCAAAACAATCAGAGAGACTACCCTTACTAGATTCCGTTCCCGACTTATAATAAAATGTCCAGTTTAGTTTCTTGCTTGACATGAGAAGCTGTGCATTTTCCACCGTTTTTATAAGATATAGGCCCAAGCAAATCGATAAGCCTATTCTTTGGCCATAAATTATTTTGTGCATGTAAGAGTGTAGGTGTTCATTGATTTATCTTACTTAAGAGGGAAAGTTTCAGTACCATTTTCATTTATCCTTTTGTTAATCATCTTCAACCTCATCCCTTCCTGCACACTCTATGGACCATCTTCACTCATGCTTCAAACTCTTTCCGCACAAAGAACTTAAAAATTTGGGTACCAAGAAAAGTCGTCGCTATAAGTAAAATTTGGATAACCCAATGTTGAACTTAAAAAATCATGTATCAAATTATTGATTCCAAAAAAAATTATTTTTTAAATACTTTCCTAATTGTCCGTATCAGAACCTATATTTTTTTTTTTACAATATTCAGTTCATTCCAAAATCTAAATATGGAAAACTCTGAAACACTCCGCAATACATTCCTAGATTAATGGTTTCGTAAACCTTCCAGAAATGCTGTTTTATAACCTATTTTACTTTAGAATCAAATAAAACCTTCTAAAAATCCTATTTTACCTTGAATCAAATAAACTCGCAAGAATAGTATTGGGTTCTTAAAATGTATGGGAAGGCATGCGGAAATTATGGGAAATAGGAAGGGGCACAGAAACAACACATTCTACAAAAAGAACTTAATTACGAAAAAAAAAAAAATAATAAAAAAAATATATATATATATATATATATATATATATATATAGATATAGATATATATATATATAAACTTATGATTCATTTCAGTCAAAGCTACAATTTACATGCTATCTTTATCTTTGCCTGCTTTCTTTACAATACTTATAAGCCGACCTAGCATTAGCATCTACACAAATAACCTCGTTGATACATTAATAAGTTACATAAACCTCTATCACGCGCTGTAAGGAGCCGAACCAGTCAATGTAATTCTTTACAATCAAAGATCAAGACCAAAACAAGTCAATTCTTTGCTTCAAAGACTACAAAAGTTTCCTTTTTTTTCTGGTGGAGGAAAAAGAAAGAAGAAAACCTTTAATAAATCTATTTTAAGAGCTGCTATTTTGAATTGGTTGTGAGGGACACTGGTCTGCTGATGAGTTTAAAAGCTTCCTAAGAGAACGGTACTGCAGGCGGACATTCTCTCCAGTTTCAATAATCTTGAGCAAATACCTGCACCAAAGTAGGTTCAACATTAAATGAGAAGTTTATTTTTTCACTCTTTTCCTGCTCAAATTAGTATTGCAAAAAATGTACAGTAAGTACGATAAGATACATGATATAAATTACGTATGCGAAGTGTAAAAAACATTATAAACTACCAAATCCCACACACAGAACCCAATGATATTCTACATATTCCGAAATAGAACATTCTAACTGTTTCAAATGTATATAATACTAGATGGGATAGCAAGTCAACTCAGATTCGGCCACTTAAAATGACATCGAAACAGTAAACTTTCAGAGAAGTAGGAAAATAGAGTTGATTCACTTGATTGACTGTTTGCTTTCATACGTTTATACAAAAACATTTTAAACCAATCAAAGAGGACACCTAAGCAAGTATACTATGCACAAACAGATGAGCTTCGAACTATGATTTTGGTTGTTACGAAGATGGCACGAGATACAATGAACCCAAGCACGCACACAGAAAACCTATATACCTAAGACACCCAAATGGGAAAATTCGCCAAGGCATAAAAGAAGCCTACTAATTATGTAATTTGCAAGAAAACGGAATTTTTGTATTAATATTTGTACAGAAAACCTATATACCTAAGACACCCAAATGGGAAAATTCGCCAAGGCATAAAAGAAGCCTACTAATTATGTAATTTGCAAGAAAACGGAATTTTTGTATTAATATTTGTACATTAATGGCAACTTATATCTCAAATTATATCGAACCTACATGCAAATTTAACAAGTTCACTCTTGATAACTCACCAGCCATTGAGACACTGAGATGTAATCACAGCTTCTTTCCCAACAAATTTTTCGGGTGTTCTTCTGTTACCCTGTAGAAATTGGTTGTTCATGATTCCACTGACCCTTGGATACATTAATTGCCAAAAATTTGAAAACATAAAACTGACATTTTTTACCTTAATAATAACTTTCTCATTTACCGAAAATGGATATTGTACTCCCCGCTGAAGTCCATCAACAGCAGTATAATCTCCATTTTCCTGAAACATTGGAGTGTGAATATAAATAAATTTCTCTCCTGAAAATATCAGAAACAATATTTAATTATCACTTATACACAACACTACTGGTTTGCCACACTTGCTAATTGATCAATCTCTTCATCAATTTGTTCGATGGATTTGAGTAAGTCAGGTTAAAAGTTATATTTTAAGATCTAGAAGTATTACATTAGCAATAACTTATTGGCAAAAAGAAGATACATATCCAGTTCTACAACAACTCAAGTGTTAAATTGATTCAAATAAAGTTTTAGTTGAGCCCACCTACACTCATGCCATGAATAGGAACAAGTTGAAGAAATTTAAAGGGACACTCAAGGTACAGACCGAGATAAAGATTTAAAACTGAAATGTGCACCTAAGTTATACCCTTATAAAGATTATTCACTACCTTCCGTGATTTCTCAGGTTACACCACTAACCAACATCAGATGAACGAATTACAAAAAAAGGGGCCCAAAAAAACAAACAAACGCACTTGCACAACAAATATACATAATCTTACATCTGATACAAAGCATTTGGGTCCTTATTGTCCTAAATTTTCTGATAAAAAGGTATTTATCTTGATTAAATTTGATATCTCAAGTTCATCATTGAGTTCCTATACTGATGTCCATAAAAATAAACCCAGACTATAATTAGAGAGAACTTAATATTCAAGGTAACACTAAGAAAAACGGAGTTCGGCACCTTAAGCTAGAGATATTCTCTAGAACAAAATCAGAAAAGAAAGAAACAAAGAGGAACTCAAAAAATACGAATTGAAACCAGATACACAGCCACTCCTCCATGCCAAAAGCCTCTACTTCTCCCACTCAAATTCTTATGATTATTCCCTTAAGTTCCACTCACACCCCTGCATCATTCCTCTTATAATCCAACTCATGATTCTCCAATACCCTTCGCCAATTGTCCAAACTGCTAAATCATTCCTTTCTCTCATCCAACCAATTTCTCTGCAGACAACTTCTAGGAATATTTCGGAAACTTTTGGGACCAGGATTTCCAGAAGTTGGATTTATGACTGCAAGCTCCTGTATTCATAATCCAGTTGTCCAAATGTTTTTGAGCTTGCATTTTATTATCTTTTAAATATGAGTAAATAAACAGTAGAGACTCTACTATTCTCTCTTAACAGCAGGAATTCCAAATTTTTGTCACTAATAGGAATATAAGATATGAAAAAAAGAAATATCTGCACAAATATTGCACTATCTAATTGCTAGTATTAAATTTCAAATAAAATCTTACATAACCCTAGTGAATAAGAAGTATAGTAAAATTTTAACCTCAAATCTGGAATTTCTGAAAAAAAAAAACAAGACATTTCTTGATAAAATTTGAAGAACTGGAACTAACAAAAGCTGAATAACATTTTCAAAAGGTATATTTCTGGAACAGTCATCATTTTATTGTCGTTGTTTAAGTAATATGTAAAAAATAGCACCACTTATAAAAAAAGCTGAATAAGAGATGTTTGGTTCATTCCAGGTAAATCATACTGTTAAGATATGTTTTATTTTATTTTTTTCAAATTATGTTCTTAGGTTTCGGGTTTGGGTTGGGCCCCAAACCTCTTTTTTTTTTTCTCTCATATAAATATAACAGTACCAGTATCATTTGACACTATTTTTTCACCCTAAACATTTCTATTAGGATGGTACCAAAGAAAGTGAATCCCACACTGATTTTCTTTATCATTGATCATCTTCGGCTATATAGGGTTGCCATCAATCGATGTTGTTCTGACTGGTGAAGCCAAGGTTTGGTGCGCCTCAAAGAGCGTGACCCAACCCCATCAACCATGACATCATTCATTGTCACACGAGCTAGTCAAAGCAAGGTGTGTCTCAAGCACGTGAATCTCACATATTGCCTTCCAGGGACCGGAATCACGTCGTGCCATCGCCTTTTGTCTTGTTAGCGTGTTCTACCACCATTGTTGCCTTTACTTCTCTATTTTGAGATCCTTGAGGACTAGGTCCCATGCTTCTCTCTTTTGTTTAGGGTTTTCCACCCTTTTATTCTCTATTTGAGATGTCTATAACCAACTCTTATTCTTTTTCAATCACTCCTACTATTAACATTGTCAAGCTCAAATAGAAAAATTATTTATCTTGATCTTCCTATGTAGAGTTTGGTTCCTAGGTCAAGGGTATCATGACCATTTGAAGACTAAAGCAAGTTCCATTTTTTATTCTAAAAAGACCACAGTGGCAAAAGAGAGACTTTCAACTTTGTGCAATTTTATGGCAGTAGGTTCTATAAATTCTCAAATCCTTCAAGAATTGCTCTTCTTTTGGAAGAAAGCACAAGATATCTCTGCAAATGATTTTCAACGTCTCTTTGATACAACTCAGAGTAACTTTCCTCAAACAAACCACCCCCACAATATGGTATCTTGTGATGCAAACGCTAGAATTGTTGTGGAAGAAGTGAAGAGATTTCTAGTGACAAGCATCTTAGAAGAACTTAATAAGAAACTTGACAAGTTGTGCATGGTCTTGATTTTGAGAAGTTTACATTCTGATTCTGATAATGTACATGGTTAAATCTTGGTTGGTGATTAGGTTCCTTCAATGGACATCAATCACTAGACTTATTTGTATACCCAACTTGATGAAGGATGAGAGTCAAGTTGAAGCTATTGAAACATCAACAATGGTTGTACCTCGTGGACGAAGGGATGGATGCAATAGTTGAGGAGGGTATAATGGTAAAGATGGACGTCTTCAATGCTCTTATTGCAAGAAAATGGGTCATACACAATAAAATTGTTATTTCTTGCATGGATTTTCTAACAAAGTTGCTCATGTTTCTAAATCTAAAAAATCAGATTTTAAGAATTCTAATGAAGAGTACTAAGAAATTTTTAGGCTCAAATTTGAGATGTTCAACAATCAAGGCCAATTTTCTTCAATGTCAATTGTTTCAACAGCATGTATTTCTTAATTTGTGGAAGGTCAAAATCGATGGATTCTGAAATTAGGTGCCTTAGATCATATCTCTAGTAATAGTTCTTCATTTTCTTTCATGTCTTATCCTAAAATTCCTCACTTGATTATTGTAGCTAACGGATCCAAAATAGCATCTCTAGGAGTTGGCCAAGTTCCTTTGTCTACTTCACTAAATTGGTTGTTGTAGCTAAAATTCCTCACTTCGCTGTTTTAGCTAGTGTAAATATAATAGTACCAATGCCATTTGACACTGTCTTTTCACCGTAAACATTTCTCTCAAGTAATACCATGCATGGTCAACCTAAGATGTCATGCTACCTCCTTATCACTATTCAAGGAACATTGATTAAAAATGGTCACGGTAGATTTGTCAGTTGTTTCATATTTAATTTATGTCTTCACACTTTTTATTCTAAGATGTAAAAATGTTTTCTGACACTTATTTTTTTTCTTTGAAAATTTGCTAATATTTTGATTGAAAAGGCAAAAAAAAAAAAAAAAAAACATGATATTGATGTTGTATACCCTATTCACTCTTCTCATTGAATCCATTTGATCACCCATTTCTTTCCGCCGCTTTCGGAGGGCAGCATTACGAAATAACCTCCGTTCATCCTCATGCTTGACAGCAGCAGCAGCAGCTCTAAGAGCTGTAAAGGAAATCAAATTAATCCTATGCCACAAAAACTAAATAATGAGCAAAAAGCTTGAAAAAGATATAATAAAAGCAGAAATAAGGCTATATATAATCTGTGTATTATTAGTGTATATTGTATAGATGGACGAAAAATATAAACAATGAAGGATGGAAGATACCAAGATTAGGGATCAAAGAACCAGCTTCAATTTCTGTATTGCAGAGAGTACATCTGGACTGTGACAGAAACAATAATTGCAATAATGACTCTTGTCTCTTACCATCTAAAAGTTTAATTACATAATGAAAATGCAAGGTAATAAAAATGATACAACACAAGTATAACCAAAATAAGAATACAAAATGCACCAAGGTACAGATACGAAGAAAACAAGTTTAAATACACAGTAAAAAAAGATCTGGTAACATTTAGAAGACCAATGTAATATTTTACTTGTTTGACTTGGGATGTTCTGGAACCCTCAAGTGCTTGACAAGGTGCGGATGGCCATCATGGATTGTGGTGGGCTAAGTTTTAATTAGAACATGTTTCAAAATCTGGTATTTTTTTTCTTTATTTTCAGCACCATATGCGTGTGTACCAGGAGGGATCAAGTTATTTCTCATCCTCACTCTGCATTTTATTTTAATGTAAAGGTTAAAGATGAGTTATTCATTAGAACCATTAAATTGAAAGAAAATAAATCTTAAAATTACTCTTTCAAGTAAATTAACACCCCCCCCCCTCTATATATAAACATGCAAATGTTGTGCAATATAAAGCTGCTTAGGGATCAAAATAGCAATCATTCCACTATACCCCATATGGTCATGGTCGCACACACTATTACTGACAGCTATGCAAGTAAGTCCTACAATGTCCACAGATGGTTCAAATGCATGAATGTAACTTCCATCAGCAATGTGCCTTCATTTCTTAGTACAGAGATGTAACCTATATATGTTTTAGAAGAACGAGATACGAAAGAGTCCTGCTTACTGTTTCAATGACTCTCCTCAACATGAGACCACCAAAAGAATGTCCACATGAGACAAACATGGCATCTTCAAGGAATGTGCCACTGGTAATCAAAATTGAAAGAGGAAGGGAAAATAGATATCAGAGTTATATTAGATCTTACATCCACAAGGGCATAGTTTTCCTTTCTGATCAAGATATATGAAAAGAACACAAAATGAGGCAATAGCCCAATATGCATGCCAAGAAGAAAACCCAACAACACGATATTCCAATTTCCCACTGTTGCATTAGACATTAAAAGATCCATAACTAAAATTGCTGTAACAAACAAGTCCATTGACTAGAAAACCAAATAACATGATATTCCAATTTCCCACTCTTCAATTTTCCTTAAGACACTGTTATCTATAGCTTCATTATGGAACATAGGAAAGCTAAGATGTTACAGAATATTTTCTCTTCTCCATGTTTCTTACATTTGGTACAATCAGCAGAGTCTGAAGACATACATAATATAACACTCTTCACAGAATCATACATTCAGCAACAGTTGCATAGACCACTAGCAACAGAAAAAGGACAGAGTAATTAATTGGAAAACCTTAAGGCATAACATGATTTTTCCAAGGGAAAAAGTAAAAACATGGACCAAGCAAAGATAATAGTTTATTTCCATCTCCTTAAATTTATTGCATATGTTTCATAAAAAAATGGATACAAATCACAATAAATAAAAGAAATGTGCACTACATCAAATTTCAGAATGTAAGATTTCAAAATAAACAAATAAACACAAAAAGGTAGTCAATCCCAAAGCTTTGGACATACAATGCTGGAACAGCATAGCTTCACTTTCATGCATTTCCGTAGTTACGCACAATCCATTGCAAAAATTAGCACAATGTGATACTATCACACTATGTTTGCAAGAGATGAAAGTGGGAAAAAAGAAAATAGTAGACTTCAAGAGACAATAAATTCCAACTCATCTTTCCATTCACTTTCCCTCCAATGTAAATCTCAAACTTTTCTCTCTCATTCAGATACAAGGTTAATAACAAATCATATAGCAATATGGCATCAATAACATACTTCTCAAACAAACTGCTAATCAGTTGGAGAGTTGAAGTTAAAGTGTTAAACTATACTTACGATAAAGGATCTGATAGAACACTTCTTAACGATGGCTCCTTATTCATACTGTTTTGAGCAGCAACCTGAAAATAAAAGGTTATAAGTTTCCATATACATCAAAGAAAATATTTTTGTACAGGGAAATTGTACTAGAAGTTTTACAAGAACCATTACTCATATAAGAGCTGTTATAAATGAAAGAAACAAGAAAAAGACCATTATGATCTTCTGAATAGATGGCCTCAATGGTTAACCAGATCCTCCAATGCCAACAAGCTTACAGAAAAGAAAAAAAAAAATACTAGATGCATACACTTCCATTTACAAGTAAGTGAAACAAGAGAGCCATAACCAAATTAGTTTAAAAGATCAATTCAATCAGCAGTTAGGTATAGGACACAAGACATAGGACACAAGACAGATTACACAAAGGATTAGTTTGTACATGGCAACCCATCGTGAAAGCTTAGTTTCAGCTTTAGTTTCACAGCAGAACGCTAATGATCAAGCATGGTAAACAGCCCCATGCAATGATCCTTGATATTCCACATTGTGTGTAGATAATAAATGTTTAAATGCAAAAGGGTTGATTAGGTACAGTATAGTAATATCCATGTCTTTGTTGGGGCAATAGGACGTCGAAAACATATTACAAAAGAAAATAATGCGTAAATATTGTTTTTGATCTATTTTTTGTGAATTATATGCTACTTTTTGTAAAGATATTTCATATTACAAAAAATCTTGTTGACTTTGGTTGAAGAGAAACTCCTGTGGTTTTTGCAGCTGGAAAGTTACAGTTGGTAAGAATATGAACGCCAAGATTTTGAACAATTTGTAGTTTTAGAGATATCTGAAGCATTAGGGTTGGGTATAGAAGAATGCAGTAGTTTGAGAGGTGCCTCTTTGCACTTCCATTTGTTATGGTTAGGATCTTCTTTTGTGTATCTGATCATGATCAGTGTGGGAGGACTTCCATAATGCATATTAAAATAAAAACAGTTGGAGAGATAACTAACATCAGCATTATCACATCTGCTGCCTATCAATTCTTCAGCAGCAAGGTCGTCCATAAATTGGCTTACAGATATTCGAACATAGCTTTGGGGAATAACATGGCCAGCTGCTGCAATTGGGGAACAATCTAATATAGCATTTCCCTGTGGCATGAGTCTATATGCAAGAGAAGTCCTACAGTCACAAAGTCAAGAAAGTATCTAAATAAGTTCCTTGAAAATCTTATCAACCATTACAAATACAAGACATTTTATATATATATATATATATATATGGTACCTTCCTCCACCATTAGGACTCAGAAAATAATCAGGAGAAGCTCTATATGATGCAGCAGGACGTAGGCCAGCAGTAGCATGGCCAAGTGCCTTGCCTGTTATCAGTAAAAGATCTCCAGGCCCAGAACCACTGTCTGCCAGATACCAGCGACCACTGGGGTCACATATCTAGAGAAGAAAAACAGAGATTATTCATAAAACTTGGAAGATAAATCAATTGTGAATTCTGTGCATTGTTTTCTGTAGCGTAGTGAACTAAGACACACTTGAACTCTCTACTTTTTCTTCTACATAAAACAATTTAATAGATACCTGAAGACCAGGAGTGTCAGAGGATATCAATGTCAACAATCCCTTCTCAACTTCACCATTCATGGTAGGCTTTCCGCCTCCAATGGCACCTCTTCCATTTTGCAAAGAAGAATGTGAATATGTAGCAACAAGAACTGACGAAGACACCTCATTAGCAGGCAACGGTGCATCATCAAGCAAATGGTTAAAAACACTGCACAAAGCAAATTTTCTTGTAAGCGAACACCCGTGATCAAAAATCTATTAAGAAATGAACAATCAGCCAACACAAAATAACGACATTGAAAGTAAATAGGAAGGCCCTCCATGATAATCTCCACTCCTTACTCGCTTCTAAGACGTAAATATCTTGCAATGGCACTCAAAGCAGATCGAGATGCCTTTCCCATGCACCTAAAAATATCAGCCATGCAGGGGGGAGAATAATCCCAATCCTCCAAAGCCCTGAAATAATAAAAAAATAAAAAAGAAAAAAAAATAACAAAACAAAGTTAAGCCATACATCATCCTTCTCAAAAGCCTAAGCTTCAAACCAATTAAGCAATAACTACCAGTACCATATCTGAATAAACTTCTCCAAACAATCACCAAATAAAAAAAACATCGGGATAAGACAACAGAGAACTAAATCTATGAATTGAGGTTAAAATTTAATATAAGCTTGTAAGCGCTTATAAAATAATATTGCTTTTCTCGTAGGTTAAAATAAACTTCTCTAGAAGCACCTAACTTCTATAGAAACTTTCTCATCAAATCTAATTTATACAAAAGCAAAAGGATTTATTTAGACAAGATTCTCCGTAAGCATTTTTAGAAGAAAAAAAATTAAATATAACTTCTCAGTAAGTTAAAAACATCTTTAAAAAAACTAATACAAGAGAACTTCTTCAAGTTAACTTGTGTAGAAGTCAATTTTAGCTCAAAAAGAAGTTCTTATATACTTTATTCAAATGCTTAGTGATCTTCTCCTACAAGTGTTTCTAGATTTACCCAAACAGACACAGAAACATAAGTTAATTTTAGCTCATTGAGGAACCTCAACTCATTTTATCTCTCTTATTTCCTTCCACTGTAATTGCAACATGAGAAATTTATTTATACCTTCCTGCTCTGTACATGTAAACCCCACGGCTACCCTTCCCAACACCAAGCTGGGCCCTACTTCTGAAAAACAACCTTGCACCTTCCAAGCCGCATCGCATCAGAGCAGTGTCTTCGCTCCCCAATTCGATCAACGCCGCATTGTGCCGCAGCAAAGACCCGCACAGAGCCTCCATTGCTTTCAGATAAGGCCCCGCCGGCGCCCCGTCATAGGGGGCAATGTCCGAGAGGCGGACTCTCACCAGCGGACACGTCGGCACCGCCGTCAAAGCGGGCTCCACCGCCGTAACTGGCACCGGATGCGAGGAGAGTGGGGGCTGGCGGAGGGGAGCGACGACGGAGAGTGGCGACTGCGAGGAAGGTGACCTAATGGAAATGGCGGCAGTGGTTGTGGTGGCAGAGGCGACGGTGGTGGCGGAGGATTGGGGATTTTTTAGGAGTGGCACCAGTGCAGAAGGGTTCTGCTGTTGCTGTTGCTGTTGCATGATCACTACCATGAATCATTCTGAACCGTCTTTGGGATTATGACTGATGGATGACTCGATTAGGGTTTCTGAGTTAGTTGGGTTCTGTGATCCATTTGATGGCGCGCCACTCACCCCTTCATGTTGTGTGTTTTTAGCCTTTACTTGTTCAAGTTGAGAAACTCCTCTCTTCTACCAGGGTTTTTTAGCAGACACCAGAAAGGAAGATCTAACTCTCTTTCCTACAAAAATTAAGAAAAAATAATAAATGACATCACCTTATTTCATTTAATATATATATATATATATATATATATATATATATATATATATATATATAATTTTATATTTTGAAACTTTTGATTTTAATATTTCATAATTTTTATTTTTTATTCAATTCAATATTAAAAAAAAGTTCTTTTGTTAAAAAAACGTTATTTTATCAAAATAAAAAATAAGGTGAATATCTATTCAAAATTTATAGAAAATACCAACGTTATTCAAAATTTATAGAAAATACCAACGTTATTCTGTTAAAAAATTTAAAAACAAATTGTATGAAAAAAAAATTTATATGAATAATCATTTTAAAATTAAAAAATTATAAATATTATTTGACCCTAACCTTAAGTTAAGCGCTTTTTTTTTCTAAAATAAAAATAGTTATAAAAAAACAAATAATAGTCATAAGTGTATCGTATATAATCGTATAAACTTAAATAATTATAATTATATATTACAAGTTTATTAATTTTAGTAGTAATTATCATGACTGTCGTCTAATTAATAGGTTAATAATAAGTTTTGTTTGTCTAATATACAGTGGTCCAATTATTACATAAAAAAATTGTTAAAACAGATATATTTAATAAAAATAAAAATAAATATATTTTAAAGGATTAGGTAAAATATCATTTAAAATTTTCAATATTTCACGTTATATTAACGAGCTGGATTATATATTTTATAATGTATTAAAATAATACATTATTTAAGTGTTAAATTGACCAGAAAGCATTTACACTTACAGAATATAAATATTTAATGCTTTTATAAATATTACTTTTATTTATTTATAAACAGATAATTTGTTTGCAAAAGTTTTGGCATGTGGATGATCCATCCCGTTTCGGCATGAATAAATGGATAGTACTTTTATTAAAAATATATGAATAATGTTAAAGATTTACTTAGTCCATCAATAATAATTATTAAATAAAATAAAAAATAATTAATTATTTAACTATAATTAATAACTTAAAGTTAATTTATAAATATTCATTATTTAAATTATAATATTATTATATATTTATATTTTAAAAATATAATACAAAATTATAATTCATAAATTCAATTTTTTATTTTAATATATAAAAGATGAATTATCTATGAGTTAAAAAATATTTTTTATCCTAATCATTTATATTTTCATAGTCTAATAATTAATATTAATTATTATTTTAAATTAAAAGATTAAAAAGAATATACAATATACAAATAGTAAACCATTATTATTAACAAATTATATCAATTGATGAGCAAATTATATTTCGATTGATTATATAAATGTATAAATGACTTACCAATTAAAATATTAAAATTAATTAGTAAATTACATTAAATTTGGTTATAATGAATGCATTTTTATTTAAAAAGTTTAGGTTTTCTAAGAAATTTAAACTTAACTTTAATATTTATATTAGTGTATTTAAGATGTTTTGATTTATAATATATTTTTATTTATGAAAATGTAAAAAAAACATAAAAAATTATTAAAAAATAATATTTTATATTTTTGTTTGGAGAAATATTATATAAATTTTTTAAGTCCATGTGAAAAAATTTTAGGTAGGTGTAGAATTAAAAAAACTCAGTGATTGAGGGTGGAAAAAGAGAAGGAATACAAAATAAATAAATATATATATAAATAAATAAATAAATAAATGATGTGAGAGAATAATTAATGCATGATTGTAACAAACAATCTAATAAATGCATTATTATAATAAACAAAATTAGTGGTTGACATATCTAGCAAAGACAAATAATGATTGAGCTAGTGTATCAAAAGTGGACTGATCTAGCTTATTGAAAATTGTCCGACCTAAAGAAGTTAAGAGCACATTATAAGTTGGTAGTGTATGTTTAGTAGTCTTAGCTTGGAACATAGATCATTGAACCGAACAACTGATAAAACTTACTTTTGTGAATATGTTGGCTTGTTGTAGTTATAAAAAATTAGGGAAGAGTTTTTTAGTCCACTATGGAGTTTTTATCTAACAATGTAGCAATTTATCTCAATATGTTTGGTATGTTCATGAAAAACAAGGTTGAAGGCGATTAGGGTGGCAACATTGTAGTATAGTGAGGAGGGTTAAGTATAATGTACTCTTAAATTGTCCAAAAGGTATATTAGTCACTCTAATTCACAAATAGTGGAGGCAAGAGCTTCAACCGAGCTGTTTGAGACAGTGATTTGTTTCTTGAAGCACTAAGCGATGAGAGAATTATCAAGGTAAATAATGTAGTCAGTTGTAGAACATCGAATACCAAGAAAGGAGGCATAATCAAAATCATAAAAGACTCTTAGTTGGGTATTGTTATTTTTTTCCTAGTGCGAATTTAATGTAGCAAAAATTGCGTTGGACAATTTATTGATGGGTCATAATGGGAGCGTTGACAGATTGACTTAGCTGATAAACAACATAAGTGATACTTAGTTTGATATTGGTCAAATAGATAATGCAACCGATAAGTCATCAATAAATGGTCAGGATTAGGAAAGATGTCGTGTTACTTATAAGAATCTTCATGGAGTAGTTCATGAGAGTGGAGACAAGGGCAGATGCTAACATTCCACTATTAGTAAGGAGGTCGATAGTGTACTTACATTGTGAGATATGCACACAAAAAGTGTTTTGGATAACTTAAAAACCTAAAAAGTAGGTGAAATCGCCCAAGTCTTTTACCTTTAAGGGTTTGTTCCTTTTTTTGAGTAATATGAGATATATTATCAACATTATTTATGATCAATACAATGTCATCCACATAGGTAAAGAGCGTTTTTATGCCTAGTACCTGCAATCTTTAGAAATAATTAATGATCGACAAAATTGTTTGCAGATATTGAATATAAGAAAATTTAAGAGTTTGTATACCATTGACGTCTCGATTATTTTAGTCCGTAAAGAAATTTATGAAGACGACAAATCTTTTATGCACTATAAGAGGTACCAAGAAGATTTTTTACATATGCTTCTTCACCTTGGTCGCCATGCAAGAAGACATTATTGACATCTGATTGTTTTAAATGTCAATTATGGATGACAACTAAGGAGACTAACAACCAAACTGTGGTGATTTTTGCTACAAGGGAAAATGTCTCATTATAATTGAGCTTCTGACGTTGAGTGTAACCTTGTGTTACAAGTCTTGCATTGAGTCATCGACTTTTGTATTTTAATTTGTATACCTACTTACATCCCACTATCGATTTGTTCGAAAGAAACTCAATTATTGTCCAAGTTTGATTTATTCCAAGAGCATGAACGTCGTCCCTCATGACTTTTACTCAATGTTCATTCTAACATGCTTATTTGTAGGAAAGTTAGCTCAGTGTTGATATCAATGTGTCGTGATTAACCTTTTAAATGAAGCAAGTAATTTTGCATTAAATATTTAGTTTGTAATAGGATAACGAATACTTGTGTTTTGAACTTATGTTGATGACATGGTAATCTTTAAGATAGTTTGGTAATCATTTGACTCTATTTTTCCTTCTAATGGTGGGGAATTGAGCATTGCCAAAAGATTGAATATTTTTAATGGTATTAACATCACCAACAGACCAATTATGGTCAATGGTGCCAGAGGAATCCACTAAAGGCCGAGTACCATCAGTTGTGTCAAAGGCTTCGTCAACAGACCAAGCACCCACGATACTGACATTGGTATTATTAGAAGTTTGAATGTTATTAAAGGAAACTTCACTACAAGTCCGGGCACCATTAGTATGAGAGATATCGCCATAAGGTCGGATACCATCAGTAGTACAAGTGGTGATATTGTGATTGATGTGGTCATCATAAAGATTAAACCCAATAGACACAGTATGTTAGGTGATAATTTCACTATTATTTTCTTTGTTGAAATGGAAAACATTTTCATAAAAAATTACATCTCAGGAAACCTCAACGTTGTTGATCTTGAAATTATAAAAATGTAACATTTTGTATTAGGATGTAATCTAAGAAAAATACATGGATTAGCCCGATATCCAACTTCTTTATATGGACAGTCAAAGTGCTAACATAAGGGAGACAACAAAAATACGAAAATTGCTCAGATAAGAAAGTTTACCATGTAGTCGTTCGCAGGGCAAGTTGTTATCCAAATAAAGGATCGAAATATAATTAATTAAGAAAATATCATATTCGAGCGCAACCCACCATAAATTTAAAGTGAGTTTATAATGAAAAAGTATGGTACGAGTGACATTTTAAATATATTGATATTTTCTTTTAACAATGTCATTTTGTTAGGGTATTTCAACACAACTGGTTTGATGAATAATACTCTTGGAATAAAAAAAAACAATGTGAAATTATGGGTCATTCTCTTACCTAATAATCTTAACATGTTTCTCAAATTGATTTTCTACAAATATAATAAAATTGACTAAATGATTTCTAATTTCACATTTATCCTACATAAGATAAACCAAGTATACGAAGTGTAATATCAACAATAGTAAAAAAATATATGTGACCATGCAGACATACCTTAGGACAAGTTCTCCAAATGTAAACATGCAAAAAAATGGAAGGTGACAAACTATGTGAGTTACTAAGATTAAAAGATAGTCTTTCTTGTTTGGCTAAATGACAAACATTACAAGGTTGATTTTTATTGAAATGTATATAAAAATGTTTTTGTTCCATAATGGGTAAACATCCATCAGATAAATGCCATAATCGAGCATGTCAGGGGCCTTTGTTATCAATAGTAGAGGAATGAATGAAATGAGATTGGTC